AGGAATGGGTCATAAGTTCATAGATTCCTACCTAGAAGGCCACTGAATACAAAATGTTCGATTTTACATCTCTCTTTACTACCCCTTAGGCCTCTGATGCTAAACTTCTTGGGACTGAAAGAGTTAAGCAACCTCTTCATGACTTTGGGGTATTCCCTTTCTTCGACAAGCAAAAATTGCTGTAATGTTCTATTATTTATAGGTTTTATAATATTTGGAATATTTCTAGGTTAGCAACTAATATGGTTAGCTCTTTAAAAAAGAAAAAGGGGGGTGCTGTGGTAGTTCAGTGGTCAACAGGCCTGCCTTCTGGCCTAGTAGCTGCAGGTCTGAATCCAAAAGCAGATATTTAATAGTCACTTGAACTCCCAGATTCACCTAGCCTAAACTGGATATTTGAAAATATTCTGGAAAGTAAAGATGGGTTTTGAGTTAAATTCAGATGAGCAATTAGCAGAAAATCATGGCAGGAGAAAAAGACAAACAGTTATTACAAGCACCGGGATTAAAGAAAACATTGCTGGATGAGACAGACCAGACCATGAGCATACATCATATCCATTGCCAGCATTTTTCACTCACCTCTTATTCACTGGAATTTGTTTATGCCTCTCAGTTTAGCACCCCATTAGTGATTATATTGTACCATTCTAGTCAGCCATCTTTACTACCCAGAAAATACCCGGACACCCATTTTAAGTGAGATCAGTCCAATAGCACGGTTCAACAACAATAAAAATCCTGACATTGTGTGAATATTTTATCACAGAAAGGAGATCAAGCAGAGACTGATTTGTTGTCAGGATGTCCCACTGTCTGGTATCAGTATGTCCCACTGTCTGGTATCAGTATGTCCCACTGTCTGGTATCAGTATGTCACATTATCTGTTGTCAGTATGTCACACTGTCTGGTATCAATGTCACATTATCTGTTGTCAGTATGTCACACTGTCTGGTATCAGTATGTCACAATATCTGTTGTCAGTATGTCACACTGTCTGGTATCAGTATGTCACATTATCTGTTGTCAGTATGTCACACTGTCTGGTGTCAGCATGTCACACTGTCTTGTGTCAGTATGTCACACTGTCTTGTGTCAGTATGTCACACTATCTGTTCTCATACTGTCTGGTACCAGTATGTCACATTATCTGTTGTTAGTATGTCACATTGTCTGGTATCAGTATGTCACAGTGTCTGTTGTCAGTATGTCACACTGTATGTTGTCAGTATGTCACACTGTCTGGTATGTGTATGTCACACTATCTATTGTCAGTATGTCACACTGTCTGGTGTCAGCATGTCACACTGTCTGGTGTCAGTATGTCACAATGTCTTGTATCAGTATGTTCATACCATTGGCTAAGGAAACTCACCTCTTCTGCAAGCAAGAAGAAGTAGTTGACCACATACTCTGGTTTTCCTGCAAACTTTGCTCTCAGTTCAGGATCCTAAGACAAAACATAAGGATGAGAATGACAAAGTGTGAATATTCATAATATGAAAATGTCTTTTGTTTCTCTTTCTTATAAATATTTTATCAGAGCCATTTAGATCATATTACTTTAACTGTGTTGGCGACACATGATCTTGATAAGTGACACATGCTTCTAATGTTTCTTCTTCACATTCACTGGCTGTAAACTCGGTGGAAAGTTCTGGTTGTTTCTCTACCTCTGGACTTTAGTCTTGTTCCAGAAACTGAGTTTTGCGTGCACATCCGTTCAACAGATCTCAGTTTTATTTAGACTGTTGGTTCCTTGCCTCTCAGGTAGATGCATTGCGACTTCGAAGGAAATCCCCACTTAGTCGACTCTTAGGACATACTTGTTGAGGAGGCAGTGGGTCGATTCTTGTTTTTCTCACAATGGGGCCCTGGAACCCACATGTGGATAATGTCTCTTCTTTTGTGTCTTAGAAAGCTAATCTCAGCACTTCACACTGTCTGAGTGTCAGCAATGGTCACCAATGTCTTAGTGCAGTTGTCCATCATACAATAATCATTTAATAACCACTAGCTAACACAACAATCTTCTGGTAATTAAACTTTTTGGCTCTCTCATTATCAACAAAAATAAGGAAAAGACAATTCAGATACAATTGGTACCTCAGGAAGGCAATACAGATAGTGATGGACAAAGAGCAGGGAATTCTAATATGTATAGAACAGATATATATATATAAATCAGGAGCTGATGTCACAGGAAACTTGGAAAAGAGATCCCAGTGCCCAACAGGAAAATATATGATGAAAGAGGGTTTCTGTTGCATGTGTTTGAAGCCTGCCTGCAGCTGTTAGCAAATTCTAACCTGAAAATGGTCCAAAAACTACTAAATATACAGATCTGCAACAACAAAGGTCAATAATGTTGGCACACATCTTCACATAACGCTTCCTATAAAGAAATAGGAGCACCAATAATTTAAAGAAGCATTGAAACCAAGTCAAAGTAGATTTCACTGCAGAAGAGCCACTTGAGGTCTGTCAAAAAAAATGAAACAATTCTCTCATCTGTGTCACACAACTACAGCTTCTTCTTCTTTTGTTCACCGTCTGTAAGTGCTGGCGGAAAGTTCTGGTTGTTCGTCCATTCAGGACTTTGGTCTTGATCCAGAACTTGAGTTGGCATGCACATCCATTTTACAGATCTGACTGATTTGTATGCAGACTGCTGGTTCCGTGCCTCTCAGACAGATGCACTCTGACTTTAAAAGAAACACCCTTAATTAGTCCCCTGCTACAACATGCATGGGGTCTAGGTGGGGGAATAGTGGGTCTATTCTGTTCTCCAAAATGGAGCCTGGGAACCCACCAGGGAGACAACTATAACCAATCACAGCCGTTTCTTTTAGGTTTTGCAGTCAAAACCGCCTGTCCTCTATGCTGAGGAATCATGTTAGTGGTTGCCTGGCGGCTCTACCACAGCAAAGGAAATCAAGCTCAAGTATCAACTCAGCAGTGATCAGTCTGAAATCTGGCTCACCTGAGTAGCAATGCCAACGGGGCAAGTGTTGAGATGACACTTGCGCATCATGGTGCAGCCCAACACAATCAGTGGGGCTGTGCTGAAACCAAACTCATCAGCTCCCAGCAGTGCAGCAGTAACAACATCCTTACCTAGGGGGGTGTAAGTAAACAAGGTAATGTACAATAATATCAGGCTGTGAGAACAAAAATCATTAGAAAGAAAAAGTACTGGCTACAGATTACAATTATACAACAGAGTAAAACAGGGGCCTAGCTAGGGTATTTAGCCCCAATAGCAGCCAGGCCTAAATTTTTTTTTTTTTTAAATTTGCATTAGCTATTTCTCAATTTTGACATCAATGTTTTGAACTGGATACTTTAGACTAAGCAATGCACATTTTTTATTTTAAAGTATTAATGTGAGCGGTGCTGATTATAGTTTTGTAGGGTAACGCCCTTCTAACCTTTTTTTTTTTTTTTATTGTGGCTTTCTTCCTTCTCCAAAAGCCTGGTCCGAGCAGAGGCAGACACTGGTGATCATGACACTACAACTCTATCTGTCCTTTACTTTTTCCCCCTGGGGAAATTTGGTGTTGTTTATGTTGTTACTAACTGCCCAGTTATTACTAAAAATTTGTCTTTCTCTGTCTCCTTCACCTGGTATTTTGTAGAAGATATGTTCATTAACACTGAAAATGTCACAAGTATAATGATCTATGGTCTAGACTGTACAATGCCCAACTTCCAATGGATTTTTGACAGGATCAATATTTACATAAGACTCCTTGTTTATTCCATGAGGCGCTCCTTGTTTATTTCTGTTATCTAAGCAGGTATTATTGTAATTTTTCTAAAAAACCATAACTGTAGTCAGAAAACCCGAACAAAACATATTAAAACTCTGGTACCAGTTCTGAGCTGTCCATCGGTCTGCAGGACAACTCTTGACCTCAGGTCATTCATAGTCAGAATCTGGTGAGTCTCAGCAATGCCCAACTCCCAGGGCAGCCCAGCATTCTTGATCCCCGTCCAGCTGCTAGCCCCAGTGCCTCCATCATGTCCAGAGATGACAATATGCTCAGCTTTGCCCTGTGCGACAGAAACAATTGTTTGGTAGTGTTATGTTACAGTAATTCTAATACACATATTACCACTTATATGTGAGATCCTAAGATTTTTAACTTATACAATAATAAAGTTTTCAAGATTTTAGGAATGCTACTGTACAACAGTGAATGTTAGAAAATGATAGCAGGACTTGATAAACTAGGGATTTTCTCAACAACAAAAATATCTAGAAATAATCCTGCAAATATTCTGATCAAACAAGATCACACAAAAAAAAACAAAAATAAAATGTTATCAAAGGAAAAAGATGGAGATGGCTCTAACATTCATGCAGAATGCCTTATGACACTATGGCAACAACAGCTATCCAGTGAAGACAGATGGAAAAGGCAGATGTGGACAACCTAAGGAAACCTGGAGCAGGACTGTAGAGAGGGAAATGAAGCAATGTAAAAGTTACACGAGATATCACAGGCAGACAAGCTATGGAAGAGCAGCAATGGAGATAATTTGTGAATGCACTATGTGTGAACAGCAACATGGAGAGAATATAGTTTGAGAAAATAGCTTTGAGAGCCATGTGGATAAACACGACATTACTGAACACAAATATACCACATTTTTCCATGTATAAGACAATATGCTTTCAAAACAAATTTTAGTTTAAAACTGGTCGTCGTCTTATACACGGAATGTGTTTAAAATATTTCTTAACTTTATGCTTAAAAAAAATTTGAGTTGTCTTATACATAGGGCCACCTAAAAAACACACACAAAATACAGTAATTCTACTACATTTATCCAAGGATGTAACTGCATTGTGCCCGTTTACCGCATGGCTGTGATATTTCAACCTTCAACGCAGGCATACGATTTCTTCAAGCATTTGTTACTGGGTTAGTCCTCCCAAAATATCACTCTAAACCACAGACTACATTAACAAAAATGTCCATGAATTCTCTACCTTAGCCACGCCAGATGCAACAATGCCGACACCAACTTCAGACACCAGCTTGACACTGATGCGTGCTGTCGGATTGGAAGCCTTCAAGTCATAGATGAGCTGTAAATGACAATGGTTATATATAAGTATAACAAAAGAGTAGCTGTGCTACAGGTTAAAAAAAAAGTTTCAGGAACAAAAGAAACAGTACACATGTTATAAACAATTTTGTCACCTGAAACCATCTTTTTTTTTCTTGTTAAATTTCTTTCTGTCCATCTTACATTTCCCCTTTCTTATGTTCTTGTTTTTGCTTAAGATATTTTTTAAACAGTAATGATATTTTTCATCTGCATGCAAAGTACCCCACAGTCAATGCACCACAAACAAGGAAATTCTCATGAAGAGAGTGGAGATAGTTTAAACATAGAAACTAAACACTTTTTATTTGAAGCAGTTCTTAATTTAAATCATAAATGGATATGAAGGAGTTGTCAAATAATAATGCTTTGAAACACAAAGGCAAAAACAAAAATACAGGGGAAAATGCTGAAAGAGACACAGAGGAAGACATCAAGAGAAGAAACCTTATGTTTTTTAAAAACGTGATTTGACAATACACTCTGTTTGATACTATGATGTGTTTGGAAACCTGATAATCCGGGCTGGTCAGCCGGCCAGTTTGTAATCATAATGAGAAAGCAAGTATTAAAACAACATCTGAGAGAGAGTGTCAAAGGAAAATAGTGCTGCGAGGAGTGACCAGGGGAGTCTAGCTAACGATCAACACTCAAGGGCAAGGTGAGTTGGTTACACCATCAGACTGTTTCTGGTACCACTGGAAATGGAACTCCGTGCTTGCTGCTGAATATGGGGACGGAACGCTTGTGGGAACATCCTGACCGCTGTAGTGTCGATTCTTAATTCAACAACATTCATTCTGACAAAGAGTGTGTTAATGTGAGGCTGGGATAAGAGCAAACAAGTAAAGTTTAAGTGCATGAAATAATCAGTTAACATTTCTTCTTCTTCGCGTTCACCAGCTGTAAACTCTGGCGGAAAGTTCTGGTTGTTCAACCACATCTGGACTGCAGTCCTGTTCCAGAACCTGAGTGTTGCGTGTGCATCCATTTTACAGATCTGACTAATTTGTATGCAGACTGCTGGTTCCTTGCCTCTCCGGCAGATGCACTCCGACTTCGAAGGAAGCTCCCAATTAGTCGACTCTTACGGCATGCTTTTGGGTAGGCACCGGGTCCATTCTTGTTTTCCCTATAACAGGGCCCCCGGAACCCACACGGGGAGGTAAACATATGATGAGTAATCTTAGCACAGTATTGACTACGGCTGGAAAAAGGTGAAGGTGACACCAGGAACCAAATAAGCAACAGAATGTACCTGCTTGAGGTCCTCAATGGAGTAGATGTCGTGGTGTGGGGGTGGGCTGATCAAACCCACACCAGGGATGGAGTGACGAGTCCTGGCAATCTCTTTCGTCACCTAGAAATACAAGCACCCCATGTTTTTTAAACACATTAACATCCAGAAGAAGAATGGAGCATAACTTTATTTTATTCCTAAGCAACAAATGATTCGTGCCAATTTCCCCATCACATGATGTATTGTTGATGTGGTTTTTAATACTGGGGCAACACAACACTTATGAGACATACACGCATATCTTTGTCTACAAAAGCAAATCTAATAAAAACCTATTTTTTGACCAGCTCAATAATGCAGAGTCAAACATGGACTCATACTGCACCTAATAAGAGCAAAATCAAAGCAACAGAGATGAGATTTCTTAAAAGAGCTGCAGGAGTAACAAGAAGAGATAAAATTAAAAATGAAGAATTCAAAAAAAGAACAGAAGTGAAACCAGTGATACAGATCATTTAAGAGCAACAGATCCTATGGTAGCAACTTTCACTGAAAGCTACGCTGTAGAAATAAAATCAACACAGAGCAAGGAAAAGACCATGCAAAAAATGGAATGACAGTATCAAGAAAAAAGCACACAGAAGATCTTTATATCTCCACCCAACTAGATGGGGTAGCTGGAAGAACAGAAGAAGAAAAAGAAGTCTTCTTACAGTTGGTTAGACCTTGCCAAAGAAATAGTGGTGGTCATCATCATCATCAGTCAGCAGGTCTTCATCACGATACACCTGAAAGTTTCTCTCCAGCCAACTCTCCAGCCCTATATGCTTTCACAGCCAGTGCATCATTAATGTCTTGTATCAATGGTCTTGGAGATCTGCCTTGGAGTTCTCCAGAAACTGTCCGCTCCATCACCGTTCTCTCCAGGTCACAATGATGTTCAACATGGCCAAGATATCTCAGCTTTCAGGCCAGGATGCTGTTTATGAGCCAACTCTCCAGCCCTACATGCTTTCACAGCCAGTGCATCATTAATGTCTTGTATCAATGGTCTTGGAGATCTGCCTTGCAGTTCTCCAGAAACTGTCAGCTTCATCTCCGTTCTCTCCAGGTCACAATGATGTTCAACATGGCCAAGATATCTTAGGCCAGGATGCTGTTTATGAGCCAGTTCTCCTTGATGCTCAGATCATGTTTGATATCAGTGTTTTTCTTCTTTTTGATCCATATCATTCTAAGAATTTTACTGTAGCATTTCAATTCAAAAGCTCCAATGGTGGTCACTTCATTGTATATCTTAATTAACTATGCATATTAGCTTCATAAAGTAATGAACTCTGAACAATGAGAACACCAACAATAGCCTGCACAGTTAACTGCCTGGTACCTTTCACTGGGAAAGTGCTGAGTGGTGCACTGAGTGCATATATGACAGCTACTGATGACAGCTACTGATGACAGCTACTGATGACAGCTACTGATGACAGCTACTGATGACAGCTACTGATGACAGCTACTGATGACAGCTGCTGATGAAGCCACTCTGTAGAGGTCAGTGGCCAGACATGCACACTACTTGGCTCAATACTAAACAACAAGAATCACCAAACAGGCAGTTAAATGAGAAATAAATGGAATGAAGAAACAAGGATATCGTCAAAAGAAACGCCCAAGACCATCACAGATGAGAGAGGCCAAAGATGCTGGACAGGATGGCATCCATGATACAGAAACCCTGTAAAGGATAGAGCTGAATAAAACAATAAACTGTGAGCCCTAAGTGAGATGTGATGGTACTCCGGATGGTAAGTGAATGAATATTTCAATGTCTCTTGTCACGCACAACACACAGAATTTATAATGAATTAATCAGAATGCCTATTTCCCATACAGATCATGTCACTAATCATTATTCTCAATTAGCAAGTCTTTTATCAGAATGCCTATTTCCCATACAGATCATGTCACTAATCATTATTCTCAATTAGCAAGTCTTTTATCAGAATGCCTATTTCCCATACAGATCATGTCACTAATCATTATTCTCAATTAGCAAGTCTTTTATCAGAATGCCTATTTCCCATACAGATCATGTCACTAATCATTATTCTCAATTAGCCAGTCTTTTGCTGAACACAGCTTCAGTAACACATAGATTTTCATGTGTCAGAACTGACTGAATGTAAACAAGACAGAAGGTTGTAAAAAGACATAAGTTCCAATGCCACACATCATGGACTATAAGAAGAAGAGCATAATTTGCTAGATGCACAACTGGCATGAAAAGGGTCCTATATGGTCTTTAAAGAAAGGGGGGGGGGGGGGTGCTATGTGGTCTCAGGGCATGGTGTCTGCCTCGAGTGCTAGAGGTTCTGGGTTCAAGCCCTGGTGAGGGCTGGGGTTTTTTCACGTGTACTTGCAGTAATTTCCCCTGGTCTCTGGGTAGTAAGACTGGATGCCCATGTGTATTGTTGCGAATGTAAAAAATCTAATCCTTTGACAGTTGGAAATCGAAAAGAGTAGCCTAACAGTGCTGCCCGGGCAAAATTTGGAGTTAAAAATCTACTCAAAAGTATTTCAGGATCCTCGCTGGTGCAACAAAGTTCATGCACTGCGCTGAGATTCTTCAGACTCAGGCTCGAGTCAGAAGAAGAACGGAGCACTTATGGGTTACACCAGTGTGCCATGATGTTGAGCTATTGAATAAACATAAACATACTGTTAATTTCAACAGTACATTAAACAGTTCAGATTACTTACACATAAAAAGTATTTATAATCAAACCATAAATGATTGTGTTAGTGTATGATTCAATATTTGATTATGTGAATAAACAGACAAAGATCTGCTGGCCCACCTTGTATCCAGGCAGCTCTCCACCTTCTCCCGGCTTGGCACCTTGGGCCATCTTGATCTGTAGCTCGTCAGCATGTGTCAAGTATGAGCTGGTCACTCCAAAACGACCGGAGGCCACCTGAAAATAGACCACCACTACTATAACTTTTCCCCCCCAGTACTCAGAACAGTCACAGCAAACTAACAACAATTGACTGAGAAAAGATAAGTCCCTATGTGGGCTCATAGGCCTCATTTTGGAGGGGAAAAAGGGAGCGGGGGCTGACCCACTGACTCCTAAATGTTGTTGGCACCTTTCCGTGGGTTTTGGGGAGGCAAGGGAATCACAGTCCCTGGGGATGGATTACTCCCTCCTAATAAGCATTTCATAGCTTGAGTCATCACAGAAGTCCACAGTGCGTGAAGTCATCTTTATTTTCGTTCCGATGGAAATGAAAGAGCTGATAGGTTGGCTGGATCCGCAATCACTACCGACAGTCAGCCTACGGATCATACTGACATCATTAATGCCCTCTGAGAAATGGGAAGGGTGGAGGACTTTGAGGGAAGTGAATCCACATCACTCGTCAGAACGATAGACTTGTGAGTTAATTCTTTCAGTCCCAAGGAACGCGTCATGCGTTCATAGATTCCTACCTAGAAGCCTAGTGAACGCAAGATGCGCCGATTTTACGTCCATCTTGACTATTCTTGGGCCCTCTGATGCCAAACACTCTGGGACTGAAAGAGTCATGATAGACATAGCAAAAAAATTAGAGGCACAGCAGGCACATCTGAGGACTTGTTAATCAACAGGGGGCATTAGCGCAGTCGATAGGAGACTCGCTTTCAAATCCAGCTGCGACTCGCTGCAGCTCATGGCCCACCTGAGTTCGAAACCGGACGGTTCCCAGGGTTCACCCAGCCTCTAGTTATAGGTAATGGGTAACAGAGTTAACACTCTGAGGTAAATGGAGAAACGTCGCTGTAGCTACAGAGTTGTGTGCGGACAGCAACACAGGCGGACAGTTTCTTATCAGCTGTCCCTACTGGTGGCAGAGGACTTATGGTTTATAACCGTGTGCACAGACGCTGGTTCACATCTCCCGACTTTAGTACCTTTTTTTTTTGAAACTTTTATAGAACTTGTACTATTAGCCATCGGACGCTGGGGTTCATACTGAGGATCTGAGCACCTATGGACATTTGTGGAGTGCAATGATGATAACCCAACTAACTAAGCATTTCATAGTAAAATGTGACTAACTAAGGGATGGCTGAAATCAGATGTGTTGGGTCAAAAGGGGCAGATATCGCATCCTTGCTGTAAACAACAGATAAGAAAACAGAACACTTGCAAGAGAGAGACCATGTTCTCTGGTCATGTGATGAGAAGAGAATCATGAGGGAACCCTGTGATGACTGGCAAGATCTGTGGTAGACAAGACACCCCAAAAGAAATTCTGCCCATGATCTAAGACAGGGTTTTCAAATACGTTTACCCAGGGGCCAAAATGTTAAAATGGGGATCGCCACTGGCCAGAGGCCCGAGTACCAGCATAGAAAGATCATTAGTACATTACAATGATAATGATCTGTGGGCTAGTTGTTAGGCCTCCGCGGACCACCAGATGAATATCCCTGGTCTAAAATGACAAGATGGAAGAAAATTATAAAGAGAACTGATCCAAAATGTCCAGGACTGAGATGGGAGGAGAGACATGAATGTTGATGCCATCTGACAAGGCAGGTTATAATGAGGACCATGACTGTAACCCTCATCGGTCATTATCACCATATGGCCTGCCAATAATGGTGGGCGGCTATGTTTCGTCAACTGACACGATTACCAGAATCATGAGCAAGGTCAGTGCTCTTGTCCTGCCCCATCCACATGGCCAAGCCATCTAGTATTTATCTCTTTGCCTTCCTATTATTTTTTCTCCACAAACTTTGGCAGATAGTACCAAGTTCCTGACCCCATTCCTTCTCATAACATCTTTAAAAAAAAATTTTTAAACTGACTGTCTGCTTGTAATTTTTCTGATTAGTTTAGTTGAGTGAAATGTTAGTTTTATGTAGCATTTATAGATGAACAGAAGAATACCACTGTGGGGGTAAAAAATCATACACAAATTATTACATTAACCTGGTTAAAATAAACAGAATGAGATCAACACCAGACAATTAAGACATTTCACCCACATATATAAAGAGATGTGGCTCCTTGTTAAAGAATGTTCTAGAGTGAAAAGTGGAGAGAAAGCATACAAGAGGAGGACACAGGTGAATATTGGCTAACAAAACAACATGGACTGGTGGAACAAGTGTGTACGGACTATCATCAAGATGCTGGATACAGAGGGCTGAAGATTCATTACAGATACTATCATCAATGTGCCAATGGAAAATAATAATGATGATGTGATGGCCCAGAACTATACAGTATTAGTCACTGACTGCCTATAGCATTGATTGCCAACTTTTTTTTAAGGTTTGAGGGTTACCGATGACTTCAGATTGGCAGTTGTATGCCACTTGGTGGTAATCTGATGTATGACATGTGGTCAAGGCACTTTCTGATCATCAGGGTCCAGAAAGAATGGTGCAGCAGGGAGTGGCCAGGGGAATCTGGCTGACTCGCTTTACACTCAGAGGAAAGGCAAGATGGACATACATCTCTACACTCAGAGGAATAGCAAGATGGACATATAACTCTACATACAGAGGACAGGCAAGATGGACATATATCTCTACACACAGAGGACAGGCAAGATGGACATATAACTCTACACACAGAGGACAGGCAAGATGGACATATATCTCTACACACAGAGGACAGGCAAGATGGACATATAACTACACACAGAGGACAGGCAAGATGGACATATATCTCTACACTCAGAGGACAGGCAAGATGGACATATAACTACACACAGAGGACAGGCAAGATGGACATATAACTACACACAGAGGACAGGCAAGATGGACATATATCTCTACACTCAGAGGACAGGCAAGATGGACATATATCTCTACACTCAGAGGACAGGCAAGATGGACATATAACTACACACAGAGGACAGGCAAGATGGACATATAACTACACACAGAGGACAGGCAAGATGGACATATATCTCTACATACAGGCAAGATGGACATATATCTCTACATACAGAGGACAGGCAAGATGGACATATATCTCTACACACAGAGGACAGGCAAGATGGACATATAACTACATACAGAGGACAGGCAAGATGGACATATAACTACATACAGAGGACAGGCAAGATGGACATATAACTACATACAGAGGACAGGCAAGATGGACATATAACTACATACAGAGGACAGGCAAGATGGACATATAACTACATACAGAGGACAGGCAAGATGGACATATAACTACATACAGAGGACAGGCAAGATGGACATATAACTACATACAGAGGACAGGCAAGATGGACATATAACTACATACAGATGACAGGCAAGATGGACATATAACTACATACAGAGGACAGGCAAGATGGACATATATCTCTACACACAGAGGACAGGCAAGATGGACATATATCTCTACACACAGAGGACAGGCAAGATGGACATATAACTACACACAGAGGACAGGCAAGATGGACATATAACTACACACAGAGGACAGGCAAGATGGACATACATCTCTACACTCAGAGGAATAGCAAGATGGACATATATCTCTACACACAGAGGCAGGCAAGATGGACATATATCTCTACACACAGAGGACAGGCAAGATGGACATATAACTACACACAGAGGACAGGCAAGATGAACATATAACTACACACAGAGGACAGGCAAGATGGACATATAACTACACACAGAGGACAGGCAAGATGGACATATAACTACACACAGAGGACAGGCAAGATGGACATATAACTACACACAGAGGACAGGCAAGATGGACATATAAAACTACACACAGAGGACAGGCAAGATGGACATATAACTACACACAGAGGACAGGCAAGATGGACATATAACTCTACACACAGAGGACAGGCAAGATGGACATATAACTACACACAGAGGACAGGCAAGATGGACATATATCTCTACACACAGAGGACAGGCAAGATGGACATATATCTCTACATACAGAGGACAGGCAAGATGGACATATAACTACATACAGAGGACAGGCAAGATGGACATATAACTCTACACACAGAGGACAGGCAAGATGGACATATATCTCTACATACAGGCAAGATGGACATATATCTCTACATACAGGCAAGATGGACATATATCTCTACATACAGGCAAGATGGACATATATCTCTACATACAGAGGACAGGCAAGTTGGACATATATCTCTACATACAGGCAAGATGGACATATATCTCTACATACAGAGGACAGGCAAGATGGACATATATCTCTACACACAGAGGACAGGCAAGATGGACATATATCTCTACATACAGAGGACAGGCAAGATGGACATATATCTCTACATACAGGCAAGATGGACATATATCTCTACACACAGAGGACAGGCAAGATGGACATATAACTCTACACACAGAGGACAGGCAAGATGGACATATAACTCTACACACAGAGGACAGGCAAGATGGACATATATCTCTACATACAGGCAAGATGGACATATATCTCTACATACAGGCAAGATGGACATATATCTCTACATACAGGCAAGATGGACATATATCTCTACATACAGAGGACAGGCAAGATGGACATATATCTCTACATACAGGCAAGATGGACATATATCTCTACATACAGAGGACAGGCAAGATGGACATATATCTCTACACACAGAGGACAGGCAAGATGGACATATATCTCTACATACAGAGGACAGGCAAGATGGACATATAACTACACACAGAGGACAGGCAAGATGGACATATATCTCTACACTCAGAGGAATAGCAAGATGGACATATAACTACACACAGAGGACAGGCAAGATGGACATATAACTACACACAGAGGACAGGCAAGATGGACATATAACTACACACAGAGGACAGGCAAGATGGACATATATCTCTACACACAGAGGACAGGCAAGATGGACATATATCTCTACACACAGAGGACAGGCAAGATGGACATATAACTACATACAGAGGACAGGCAAGATGGACATATAACTACACACAGAGGACAGGCAAGATGGACATATATCTCTACACACAGAGGACAGGCAAGATGGACATATATCTCTACATACAGAGGACAGGCAAGATGGACATATATCTCTACACACAGAGGACAGGCAAGATGGACATATATCTCTACATACAGAGGACAGGCAAGATGGACATATATCTCTACACACAGAGGACAGGCAAGATGGACATATAACTACACACAGAGGACAGGCAAGATGGACATATAACTACACACAGAGGACAGGCAAGATGGACATATAACTACACACAGAGGACAGGCAAGATGGACATATATCTCTACATACAGAGGACAGGCAAGATGGACATATATCTCTACACACAGAGGACAGGCAAGATGGACATATAACTACACACAGAGGACAGGCAAGATGGACATATATCTCTACATACAGAGGACAGGCAAGATGGACATATAACTACACACAGAGGACAGGCAAGATGGACATATAACTACACACAGAGGACAGGCAAGATGGACATATAACTACACACAGAGGACAGGCAAGATGGACATATAACTCTACATACAGAGGACAGGCAAGATGGACATATAACTACACACAGAGGACAGGCAAGATGGATATACAACTTTACATTTAGAGGAAAGGCAAGATGGACTAGTCGACAGGGTTGACATGTTGGACACCCCTGGCATGCAGTTTTTAAATTAAGTTAAATAAAATTAAATAATAAAAAAAAAATAAACGATTAAATAAACAGATAAATGACAAAATAAATTTATCAAGAATTCAAGAAGCTACAGTAATTTGTACCTGCTTGATCTTTGAGCGAGCATTGAATTGTGGGTCCTCATTGAGGTACCTTTCAGGGTCCTCTCCGCCTTCGCCTGTGTTGGACTTGGCACCGATCCTGTTCATGCCGATAGCCAGGGTTGTATGAGCTTCGATTGAGATGCTGCCAAAACTCATGGCACCTATAGTATACACCAAATTAGATTAACAAAATTGATGTGACATTCTTCTTCTGTGTTTGCCTTTGAAGGGCGGTTAGCATGTTGTTTGTGTTTACAGCTGGGCTGCGACACTTTTACCTTTCGGCCCAACACATCTGATTTCAGAAAATCCTTAATTAATTGCCTTTTATGACTCATTTGTTAAGTAGCAGTGGGTCTAACCCCACCCCCTACACACATATGTGCACATGCGCCAACACACACACACCCGCCCACCCCCACAGCACGCCCGCCTGCACGCACTCTCTCTCTCTCTCTCTCTCTCTCTCTCTTTCTCTTGCTCTCTCTCTATGGCCTCAGAATCCACACATGGAAATATGACAACAAATCCTTTATTTTTTTTTAATGCTTTAAAACTGGTTGACAATTTTTCATTATAAAATTGACTAGATAATTTTTAGAAATTTGTTGGCTTTGTCTAAAAGAACTAGTAGTGAGCAGGGGAACTAGTCATCCTCTCATTATAATCTAAAAGGCTAACCTCCCAATCTCTGTCGGGCCCCTGCCAAGCAGCACAACTGTGGAGTCATGCTCGAATGACAGGTGGCCTGCTACGACTATTAATTTATTCATATGTATCTTACCTTTTTACCTTATAAATTTAACAAGAATTGACAGGATCATAAATACCAGCTAAGGAGAGAAGGTTGGAAGAAGATGGTTTCTGAATTAGGTTAAAAAACCAGAATGAAGTGGTTTGGCGTCTAATTAGAATGCAGCCATACCTAACAGTATACATATGAAACCTTGTACAGCAGAATATCTTGGTGGAAGGTAAGAGAAAACCAAGGAGGAGACAGATGGATGGTGTAGCTAAAACCTGTAAAAAAAAAAGATGAACAAAACTACTATTTAGTCCGCCGGAGACACGCATGACAGATACAGAAAACCATGACACTGGGCTACGACTCAGTAACAGTGATGACAGAAGAATATTGTTAGCATCGTCCCATGGCCCGACAACCTCTGCTACAACTTCTACACCTGTAAGAGGAAGCAGGACCCGCAGCAACTGACTGTAATTATATATGTGCCTTATGTTCTGAGTTAGTTCGATGAGACTGCGCTCAAAAGTCAGCAGTCGATTTCGCACGCCTCTTCTCCAAGAATATCTTTCTGCTGGAACCTTCTCCCAAGTTTCTAAATCCATGCCAAGGGTTTTCATACCCAAGAATAAATTATAAAAATGTATTTATAGGTATTAGCTAATCTGATGGAACTAAACAACTTGCTGGTAAGGTCTTACCCGTACAGACTGATTACAGGTATTAGCTAATCTGATGGAACTAAACAACTTGCTGGTAAGGTCTTACCCGTACAGACTGATTACAGGTATTAGCTAATCTGATGGAACTAAACAACTTGCTGGTAAGGTCTTACCCGTACAGACTGATTACAGGTATTAGCTAATCTGATGGAACTAAACAACTTGCTGGTAAGGTCTTACCCGTACAGACTGATTACAGGTATTAGCTAATCTGATGGAACTAAACAACTTGCTGGTAAGGTCTTACCTGTACAGACTGTTTACAGGTATTAGCTAATCTGATGGAAATAAACAACTTGCTGGTAAGGTCTTACCTGTACAGACTGTTTACAGGTATTAGCTAATCTGATGGAACTAAACAACTTGCTGGTAAGGTCTTACCCGTACAGACTGATTACAGGTATTAGCTAATCTGATGGAACTAAACAACTTGCTGGTAAGGTCTTACCTGTACAGACTGTTTACAGGTATTAGCTAATCTGATGGAACTAAACAACTTGCTGGTAAGGTCTTACCCGTACAGACTGATTACAGGTATTAGCTAATCTGATGGAACTAAACAACTTGCTGGTAAGGTCTTACCTGTACAGACTGTTTACAGGTATTAGCTAATCTGATGGAAATAAACAACTTGCTGGTAAGGTCTTACCTGTACAGACTGTTTACAGGTATTAGCTAATCTGATGGAACTAAACAACTTGCTGGTAAGGTCTTACCCGTACAGACTGTTTACAGGTATTAGCTAATCTGATGGAACTAAACAACTTGCTGGTAAGGTCTTACCTGTACAGACTGTTTACAGGTATTAGCTATTCTGATGGAACTAAACAACTTGCCGGTAAGGTCTTACCCGTACAGACTGATTACAGGTATTAGCTATCTGGTGGAACTAAACAACATGCTGGTAAGGTCTTACCTGTACAGACTGTTTACAGGTATTAGCTATTCTGAAGGAACTAAACAACTTGCTGGTAAGGTCTTACCTGTACAGACTGTTTACAGGTATTAGCTATCTGATGGAATTAAACAACTTGCTGGTAAGGTCTTACCTGTACAGACTGTTTACAGGTATTAGCTATTCTGATGGAACTAAACAACAACCTGCTGGTAAGGTCTTACCTGTACAGACTGTTTACAGGTATTAGCTATTCTGATGGAACTAAACAACTTGCTGGTAAGGTCTTACCTGTACAGACTGTTTACAGGTATTAACTATCTGATGGAACTAAACAACAACATGCTGGTAAGGTCTTACCTGTACAGACTGTTTACAGGTATTAGCTATTCTGATGGAACTAAACAACTTGCTGGTAAGGTCTTACCTGTAGAGACTGTTTACAGGTATTAGCTATTCTGATGCAACTAAACAACATGCTGGTAAGGTCTTACCTGTACAGAAACGTTTCACAATGTTCTTGGCTTCTTCCACCTCTGAAATATCCACTGGCTTGTCACTCTTCACAAAATCCAGCTGCCCTCTCAGTGTGCACTTCCTGCTACTCTCAATGGATGATTCCACAAACTTGTCATAGGCCGACTTGTTGTTGGATTTGGCTGCATCCTGCAGAAAGACGTTTTAGACTACAGCTGAAGATTACTGAGTTTTTAGACAAATGATGTCAATCTTTAAACCTGAAGGAAAATTCATTTTCTTCTTTCATTAATCAGAACTGGTTTCCCAGGTTTTACTCGCCAAAAAAAAAAAATTCCTTGATGAATAAATGAATGAATTAAGAATTGACATCAATGCACTCAGGACATTCCCACACAGGCTCCGTCTCCTTCTTCAGTAACCAACGAAGAGTTGACATGGGGTGAACACAAGACAAGCCAATTGTGTGCATGTCGCACATACTTGCATTACTAACCATTTAGTGAGTGAACCCTTTAACAGCTGCCCTGGTAAAACAGGCAGTTGCATTTGATTGTTTTTGAATTTGTATTTCAGTTACAAATGATTCACTTATTTTCTTCATTTATGTAATTGTTACTATAGTATGAACCTGATGAAATACAGTGAAATATGCCAAGAAATAAATTGTTCAATCTATTGTTTGTGAATTCTTTGTTCAAATTTATTTGTCTGTTTGTAGTTCCATTTGCAGAGTTTCATAGCTGTTACAGTGTATACAACAAACCAAGCATTCACTGTACACTTACAGGTGACACATACAACAAACCAAGCATTCACTGTACACTGGCTAAGGCCTTGCGAGTCCGACTCGTAATCCAACGTACCGCAATCAAAACCCACTGCAGGCTGTGTAGATTTTTATCGTGGTATGGGACGTCGCAGGTCGACCCAGCCTCAAATGCGGTACCAGGATGGCTGTCCTGGGGAAGTAGAGACGGCTGGCATAATGCTGACCACATTACCCACCGAGTGCCGATTGGTCTGTAAAAATATGGGTGATCTTCTCATATGCCCGATGCGCCTAAAGGCGTGAAAAGGGATCTTTACTTTACTTTTACTAGAACCAATCTGCAGAAGTCAGTGGCCAGACATGCACACTACCTGTCTCAAAACTAAAAAAACCCTAAGGTGAATGCCGATGAGAAAAGTCAACGGTGCCGGACTTGATCCCATCCATGATATACAAGTGATTGTACTGGATAGAGAAATAGACAGGAAGCCCCTATTGACAGATAATGGCACGACAGGACAATCAATTATTTTTTAAATACAAAAGACACAACAGGAAGAGTATGCTGTCAAAATATGAACATAATTTTATTTGGATTAATCACAAACCTGCAAATTTGCAATGGTGGCAGGATCATTCATATGTTTCTCCCCGCCGGCCCTCCAGTGGTAGTTTCCTCTGTTCATCACCAGCAGGTTGTCGCAGACATGCAGGCTGTAGGCCAGGTTGTGACGGTTCAAGGCCTGCATGTACACAGATTTACTTGTTATCAGCATGGATGGTTTCAATTAAACAAGAAAGAAACATAAAAAAAACATACTTTAAAGATGAGATAATCAAATTCACTGCTCTGGATTTAATCTAACATGACTCTCATCTTTCTTTACAGAGAAGCTGACAGTCTATAGAGAACACTGTATGAAGAACTCCCAAGCTTCAGTGGCAATCTCCAAACATCCATGAAAAATGTACATGTGAATTGAACGACCTAGTCTCAAAGTGGACACACAGGCTATCTGCTGGTGTCATGTTACTTGTTTTATAAACCTACCACACATATACACAAAGAGAGAGAGAAGAGAAAAAAGGGACAGAGGGAGGAATCGGAAGAGAGACAGTGGAGAGAAAGACACAAGGGAAAAGGGTTGGGGGGGAGATATTCATACACCACTACAAGGATACTGGACCATTTGGCATAAACTCTAACAATTTCTTTTTACCATGCCTTATAACTAGTCATCCCCATGTAGGATGCAATTTTTCGTTATTTTGAAGCCCTACTCTGGCTCTTGCCAGAAGCCGCAAGATAGCCTGGCCATAAATATGGCCTAATAGCTGAATGTGGTTTCTGGGACCTCTCCACGGGTGATCCTCATCCACATGGTGGCACATTGTGTCACCGGGTGTTTATCGCTTGTGTGATGTCCTGGTGGGGTAAAATGTACTACTACTAATTCTACCATGCCAAAACAAGAAAGGTGGCCATCTCAAACAGACCTCAACAGCAAGCTGACATGTTGCAACCTCTACTGTAAAACTCTATTACTGGTTGTTTATTTATGTTAGTTCTCTTGCTGTAACTGTAAACTCGAATGCTCCGTCACTTCTATTTCACACAGTAACAGATAACAGTAAGAGTCAGATGGTCCCACGTACCTCTCTGGCTATGACATCAAACGTGACCCCGCCCACGCGTGAGGATGTGCCTGGGAAGCACATGTCAATGATCTCCTGGTCCAGACCAACAGCCTCAAATATCTGGGCACCCTGTAAAAGAAATGAAAAATAAGTTAGGTGATTTAAAAAAAGAAAAGGTGTTCTGTTTGTTACATGATAGTTTATAGATAAAATATAAAACTGGGTATTTGACAAGAGACTCCACGAATTCAAATATGCTCATAGAATTCCAACAAATATTTTCTTAAATGTAAAAAAAAGTCACTGAAAATATAGCAGCACACTTGACAACTACCATGAAAGCCTGACTTCTGACAGTTTGTGAGGATGTGCATTAAACTGTGGGGAGGGGGAGAAATGATCCAATGTGTGATTAACATTAGCAGAGACATAGTGTAACGGTGGATGATTATAACATTAGCAGAGACATGGTGTCACGGTGGCTGATTATAACATTAGCAGAGACATGGTGTAACGGTGGCTGATTATAACATTAGCAGAGACATGGTGTAACGGTGGCTGATTATAACATTAGCAGAGACATGGTGTAACGGTGGCTGATTATAACATTAGCAGAGACATGGTGTAACGGTGGCTGATTATAACATTAGCAGAGACATGGTGTAACGGTGGCTGATTATAACATTAGCAGAGACATGGTGTAACGGTGGCTGATTATAACATTAGCAGAGACATGGTGTAACGGTGGCTGATTATAACATTAGCAGAGACATGGTGTAACGGTGGCTGATTATAACATTAGCAGAGACATGGTGTAACGGTGGCTGATTATAACATTAGCAGAGACATGGTGTAACGTGGCTGATTATAACATTAGGAGACTGATTATAACATTATAACATTAGCAGAGACATGGTGTCACGGTGGCTGATTATAACATTAGCAGAGACATGGTGTCACGGTGGCTGATTATAACATTAGCAGAGACATGGTGTAAACATTAGCGGTGGCTGATTATAACATTAGCAGAGACATGGTGTCACGGTGGCTGATTATAACATTAGCAGAGACATGGTGTCACGGTGGCTGATTATAACATTAGCAGAGACATGGTGTCACGGTGGCTGATTATAACATTAGCAGAGACATGGTGTCATGGTGGCTGATTATAACATTAGCAGAGACATGGTGTCACGGTGGCTGATTATAACATTAGCAGAGACATGGTGTCACGGTGGCTGATTAATGTGCTTGTCTGAGCAGACAGTAACAGTAAAGAATCCTTTTCCACGCCTTCAGGCCTACTGGGCATATCGTGCCCTATATCTAGACCTATATTTCATAGACCAATTGGTACTTTTGGTGGGCAATGTGATCATTATCATGTCCGCCGCCTTTACTTCCCAGGACTTTACCTTGGTCGGCGACAGAACTGTGCTGGCCAGGAAAACAAAAAATTACCTGCTTGGGATTTAACCCAAACCACTGTCTCGGGCCATAAGCCAGAAATTTTATTTTTTTTTAAACAACCTTGAGGTTGACCCAGCCTCTTACAAGGGTCATGACATCACCCAGAGAGTCCCTGACTGTATTAAAATATAGGTCCAGCCCTATGTGCCCAATATTTCTGAAGGCATGGAGATGGGTGTTGACAAAGTTTTTTTTTTTTTTGTCTAGGACTTTCCCATCTCAAACGCAGTACCTGTTACGTGAGACTTCTACCTTTGCCTGAGAGCCCAGTCACTAATGTATTCTTACAAAAGCAATAGCTCTTTCAGTACAAGCAGGTCACAGGTGACGTCCAACAGAGGCAATAAAAACTGCATGAAACTAGTAGCTGCTCTACTCCTGAATAGGACAAATACATGTTCCCCGAAGGAAACAAATATACCATGAGAACATTCCAATACAAATGAAAAGTACAACTCACATTATCACAATCCTGAACGACAAATGAATGCTGCAGTTAGAAATACAATTAAAAGCAAGAATACACAAGACCACTCATCTGTAAGTTGAGATCTCTCAACACACCTAGAAATGGCAGCGGACAAGAGAGGTAGGACCGGTGGGTTTTGTCAAGGGTCACAAATAAAATTTCAAGGAGTAAAGGCCCTTACGTAAGAGAACATACAAATGAACAAGTCTATTAGATACATTAGAAAAGGTTAAAGACACACACTCTTGTTATCTGTACCTTGTAACTGTGTAACGTAGAAATGCCCATCTTGGCCATGACTTTGGAGATACCCCGAGCACAGGCAGCTCTGAAGTTGAGATATATGACCCGGTCTGTGAACTCCTCACCGATGACTCCCTGTTTGCGTACTCTACGCAACAGCTCATATGTCAGGTAAGGACAGATGGCATCGGCACCAAAGCCCAGCAGGGTACAGAAATGGTGCACCTCCCTGTTGATAAGGCAGCACAGGTTACAATCACTTGTTTATTTAAGACCAGGTCTCATGACAGTACTAACAATATTTTCATTCCGTCCCTCTATGCCTAAGATGTATTCAAGAGCCTATTTGTATGCTACAGCAAACCAAACAAAATAATACACACTATTAGAAATTTATAAGATGGTTCAGAATGTGCAGTGCGCACTGAAAATGGTCTAAGTGACTGGTCCTAGTGGAAACTGGAGCTAAACAAGGCTAAACATTCTATCTTTTTTATTGTTCGGAGTAGCCATTGATTGGGTAATGAAAAAAAGTTGCAAAGACAATACCAGTATTGACTGGGTAGAGAGCAGACAACTAGGAGATCTGGAATTCGCGGATGTTAATGTCCTGTTAAGTAAAAATAACAAAGACATGCAAAGAAAAACAGAAGATTTGTCATCTACAACATCAAAAATAGGACTACAAATAAATTATGAGAAAACAAATATATCAAAGATACAACAACAGATCATGTAGATGTCCCACTAGAGAACACACCAATAAAAGTAACGGACCACTTCATCTATTTGGGCAGCAGTTTTGACTCTCAAGGAGATACAACAAAGGAAATTATGATACGCATTGGCAAAGCAACAACAGTTTTTAAAAGCCTTAACAAAATCTGGAGCTCTGGGTTATACAGCTTTAAGACCTAACTATGCATCTTCAATTCAATGTTATTTCAATTCCAACATTTGCAAGCAATAGTTGGAGAACAACCAAAGATATGGAATGAAAGTTAAATGCACTCGTAAAATAACTGTCTGAGAAAAATCATTAACATAAAATAGGACAAATTCCTGTATCGACTCCAATAAGATAAAAAGGTGGAAATATATTGGGCACACTCTGAGATGAAATAAGCAATTACAAAACAGGCACTGAAATGGTAAACACAGTCTAAGAAAAACAGGAGTTCAAGGGAAACATTAGGAAGAATATTATGAGAAGAAGCTAAAAATGCTAGACTGAACTCCATGTCTAAAATCGAAAGATTTGCATGCAACAGAGTGAATTGGAGGAGTCGAATGTGAGCCTTATTTGAGATCTGACGACACACGAAGGATGATGATTTGTCAGGAAACTTAATACCTTTTTCTGGGAAGGCTGCAGTCTATTTCGTCAGATTGTTTTTTATGAACAAATTGTGGAAAATATAACAAAAGAAAGAAAGCTTTTTAAAAGTACTGAGAAATTAATACTTTTTAAGACTTGGTCATGTTTTTTTAGATGAAAAAACAACAAAGAGAGTATGAGGAAGCAAAATAATGTGGATCCGAGGAGAGATTGTGGTGTGCAGGGTGATGAGCAGACTGATAGACTGTCAGTTATCACACCTCTGGGTGGTGAGCTACTTTATGATAAAGTAGCAAGGCTGTCTGGGATCAAGTGGGGACATTACAATTAAACACAGAATCCATACCTTAGACTGATTAAGCCAGAGTAAGCAGAGTGTCTGGACTGTTTTCAATACACCGAGGAAAAGACAGTCCGACTTTAAATCTGGTTTTAACTAGCACCAGCCAGTGCTTTCCAGTTGTTGATAACTAAAGAGACAGAGCACAGGTGGGATGCCCAAAGTTCCATAACATCAATTCTTGATCCATTCATTTATCAACATTTTTAGTGAAGAATTTTCACAATGTTCAATTTAAATTCAGCTAATAAATTATGGTAACTTTCTACACAAACAGTCTAAGAAAATGAGCGGCAAATTTCCACAAACAAAAGAATTACCTGGCCTCTCCAGACTCCACAATGATGCCAACTTTCATTCGGAGTTTCTCTTCAACAAGGTAGTAATGGACGGCCCCGATCGACAGCAAGGAACTGAGAAAATCCACATCATACAACTCTTAATAAAGATGTGAAATTTAATTAATGGTGCTCAGATCAACATTTCTACACAAGTTTGTGATCAACTGCAACCCTCTGAGTACACATATGTATTTGTGTGTGTGCACACGTGTACATGTGTCTGTGTGTGTGTATGCATGCATGCGTACATGTGTGTGTGCAGGTCACATGATAAGATGCATTTGTGGTCTGAAAGATGAGTGCTTGGAAGTGCTGGATGTTAGATGAGTCTTCAGACCTAATTTGCAACCCTTTGAAAATAAAGTTTGTTTGTTCGTTTTGTCTGCCTATTGTGTTTGAGTGTGTGCGTACATGTATGTATGAGTGTGAGAGAGTCAGCAGATGGCTGCAAGCATTACTAGAATATTTATTTTTAAAAAAAATTTACTTAAAGCAATTTTTTTTTTTTTTAATTTTAATAAAAATTTATAGGGTATAGCAATTTATGGACTAGAATAGAGCAATAAACATTTGTAGAAAATACTATGTACAAGAGGCAGGATGAGACTGAAATTTATTTTTGGGAAAAGGGTAAATATATGGGGGGAAAAAATACTAGAAACATCAATTCCATCAAAATATCAGATAATTATCAGAGAGAAGAGGAAAGCTATGACTGTCCAATGTGTGCTCCGGACCAGACACCTGGAAAAGATTATACATAATTAGACAATAAAACATTAGGACAAAATCACATACAAAAATTATGTAAAGCAGAAATACCAAACACAACCACACATGCAATATTTTAAAATGAGAAGCCATTTTTTAAAAAGTCAAAAATGAAATGAAATAAAAACTCATATGCTGTTTAGGTGATGTTAGGAATATGAGGCTAAGTCAGAGGGCACTGTTGATTGATGGGTGACTGTACAGTTCTCACCTGACGGGCACAAAGTCCGGCCCGGCCCTCCTGTCAGTGAGAATGATCAGCTTGTAACCCTCTCTTGCCGCTGCAGCACTCTCTTTACAGATCCTCTTGAGCGCCAGCTTCAGCCCCGCCACTCCGTCCTTCACTGGGTAGGCAATGCTGACCTCTTTAGACTGAGGAGGAAGAAATCAAGTGTAACTGTTATTACTCATTATACCATCACTAGTTGGTATGGCTATATCTGACACAAAAGAGAAAAAAGTGAGGGCATGGGGTGAAAACAACACCTAAAGAAACATTTTTTTTTTTTAAAGTGGTTAAGAAATGGGCAAGCCGGCCTGTCTAATACACTGCCCTTTCATTTTAACTCTCTGCAAACATTTACCCATTCACGCATCATTTCATAGGTAATAATACCAATATTCAACAACATCTAAGTCAGAATTTAAAATGCTAAAATGTTGCTCTAATTTTACTTACAATACTAAACTAAACAATTTTTTTTAGTAAAGAATAAATCTAATGCAGACAGACTGAGAGACAGATACAGAGAGGGAGCGAAAGAAGGACAGATAAAGAGAGAGACAAATACAGAAAGACAGAGACACACACAGAGACAGAGGCAGAGAGAGCCCTTATAAGGACAGACAACTCACCCTCCAGCCCTTGTAATCCAGATAGCGCAACATCTCCATGTCTGGCAGGGACAGTATGGGCTGATCCAGCCACAGCCTCTGGCACTGTTCTGGTCCAGGCTCCAGGATGTTATGTTCTGGTCCCACAGGGCAAGCCTACAGCAAACGAAGAAAGCCATGAGAAAGCTGAACTACAGACAGTCATCTAGAGAACTGATCACAGTCATCTGCAAAACTAATCACAGTCATCTAGAGAACTGATCACAGTCATCTGCACAACTAATCACAGTCATCTAGAGAACTAATCACAGTCCTCTGCACAACTAATCACAGTCCTCTGCACAACTAATCACAGTGAATGGTTTAATGACTGAGGGAATGAAGTCTTTTTTCTCCTTCTTTACTTTCTCTTTTACTGCTTCAGGTGTTGAAGGAGATATAAGGTTCTGTTTTAGCTCTCCCAGCCACCTTGATCATAGGCACATCGTGCTGCTGTAGAGTTTATCTGATGTCATCTTTCCAACTTGTTCTTGGTTTACATTGTGCTCTATGTGCTTCTCCTCTTTTTTTTGAACACCTTAAATGGTATGATGCTACAAGCTAAGTGGGCAAATCATCTGATTTGTTGTCTTTGCATGTAACTTAGGGTTGGTTCTGTGCCAACTTTTTCTCACTTCTGATCTTATCTCTTCAGATAACTCCTCAGACATCTTTCTGGGGTTACTAATTCTCTTTTAGGGTTTGTTGTTAGTGACCATGTCCAACATTGGTAGCACCAAGTAGCATATTCTATCAGAAGAAGCATTGGCCATTAGAACAGGACATGCTATGAAACATTCTGGGTAGCTCTTTCATTTACCAAATCTGTCTAGGCTTCAGTCTCTACTCATTTTTATTTGTAACTACCAACATATTTTTTTAAATCCAGCACGGTGAGCGATGGTCTTCTGAGATTATCAGCCTCATCTGAGACAACTAATAATTTGATCCACTGCCTCAGAAGGGAGCTCCCCCTTCATTTTGTAAAGATTCAAACAGTTATCAACAGTCGGAGTTGTCACAGTTTGAGCCACAGGTGGATAACATAACCTCCGGTCTATTCCAACAAGGCTGTACTCTAAACTTGTTGTTGTTCTCCCTGCCAGTGGTTTTCACATGAAAATGCCACAGGCCTCTAAGAAGGCTGTGGTGCAATGCTTGTCCTTCCCTGATCCATTCAGTTTGGTTTTGACCAGAATGCCAGCGGCTAGATCTAGCATCTGTCTATTCCATGAGATCATCAAAGCCTGCAATACATGTTCAGTAATCTGTGGTGCCTGTTCACAGGGGACAAGTTTTCAGCAGCCAATCTTAAATTTCTTGTACATTTGTTTACATTTTATACCTGAGGAAAATGATGAACATACATCGACATGAATTCAAGAGAAGTGAAGAAAAAAGGAGAAATATATGGGCGAAACTCTAGTATCAACAATTATAAGACAGAGAAGATGGAACTACACTGGCCACATTTTAAGAACAGACAGGCAATCACCAAACAGGCAATGAAATGGTAAATAGAGGGATTGAGGACATGAGGACGTCCAAGAGAAACCACAAGGCTATGCTGATGAAAGAAGTCAAAGGTACTGGACAGGGTTCCATGCATGATATCAAAGTGATTTAACAGGATATAATGGAAAGGAGAAATAGTCTGCAAGTCCTATGACATATATAATGGCACAGCAGGACAATGGAGAAATGGATGTTTCAATGTTACGGCTATAAAATGGTTTTGTATATTGATCTCTTCATATAAAACACAACACATGGCATATATGTGGACATAGTAGGGGAGAACATACCAAAGACATGACAATCTTCTCTCTGAAAGGATCAATGGGTGGGTTTGTGACTTGTGCAAACAGCTGCTTGAAGTAAGGGAACAGCAGTGGGTCAAACTGGGACAGGCAGGCCAGCGGGGCATCATTGCCCATTGAGCCTAGAGCTTCTTTCCTGCAGAAAACAGAAATAATACAGTAAATAAACATAAACATAGCTGCAGACACTTACAAGTTTAAGTACAATTATGCCTCAGAGAACATTTTATATGTTGCAGGCTTACTTTTTACAATGTTATGTTATCTCAGTTGACGTTGTTGCACGTTAGGAATTCTCATGCATACTCAGTCCTCCAATGCAGCAGCCACTCCTATGTATTTCTACTGACTATTTCTATGAGAGGTTGATTATAATGTCTCCTGTCTTGGCCTCAAAGGCGGCATAGCTGCAAGGTTCATTTGTGGTTTTTGATTGAGATAATGTAAAGCTGACTTGTTCTACCTCTAGTGTGGTACAATATCTTTTCATGAAAGAGGTGAGCACCACAAGACAACTTATCATAAACATCAAAAGGACAGTCATCATTTTGAGTGTGGTCATATTATAAGAAGAAGGAAAATGGAATAAGTTGTAACCACTGGAAAGAATTGTAGAAAAGAGTGGAAGACAAAGTGAGAAGATACAAAGTGAGAAAATACAAAGTGAGAAGATACAAAGTGAGAAGATACAAATTGAGAAGATTCTTGATAACCTTTTGTCAAGATATCTAGGGGTGTCTGTACATGACCTGATAAATGCTGCTGGAGATCACTGTCAAAAAGCATAATTGCTCAGGCCAGTCGGCAAGGCACCTAAAGATGGTGATGTTGACCTGTACTCAGACAGCTTCAGGCTTTCTCCAGATCTCCAGATGTTCAACATACCAAAATACTAAACAAAAATACATCACCAGTAGGTAAATACTAAATACATCTAAAGGTCCAGAAAGATTACCGGAGGCAGAAGAAGATGAAAACTGAATGGGGCCAGCAAAGAAGTCCTTCCAGCTGACAATGAGGAGAAAGAACTAGTCACAAGCAGAACAGGGTGTCTCAAAATTTCCATACATAGGAAAAAAACACATTTCAGTGCGTGCCCTACACTGCTGAAGAACACTCATGATATGAGTTTTTCTTTTCTTCTTATGTATAGTACTTTTAGGAATCCCTGTATAAATCAATACCTGAATTAATCCCTGTATAAATCAATACTTGAATTTAACTGAACAAGAGGGAGAAAAGTCAACAAACTATTTTAAAAATCATACTTGTCTCGGATCATAGGCAGGATCAGGCGGTTCATTTCATCCATGGTGAAAAGGTACAGTGACAGTCTGGGATCCTCTTCAATACAGGAACCAACAGGGGCCTGACGCAGGGCGATCTCAGAAATCTGGAAGTGATCCTGCTGCTCCTTGTACTCTTCACGCAGCTCTTTCATAGTCAGCACATTCTATGATTTGTTTTAACAACAAACGATTAGCATTGTGAGAGTGTCGAAGATTTAAGGAGTAACATTTACAGCTCTTTCATAGTCAACACATTCTATGATTTTTTTTCAACAACAAACAATTATTATCACAGTGTCTAGGAATTAAGAGGTAACATATACAGCTCTCGTGTGGTGGCTTTAAAGTTTGTGGTTACATTGCATAAAGATCTAGCACTGTATGCCCAATACACCCAAAAGAAAAGGAGTCCTTTACTTTTACCTCAGCAACAGATGACATTAATGTTTTTAATTTTATTCAGATAAAACTATTGCTGCCTTTACCAGGAATATGGTAAACTGATGTATGACAAGCTGGATGTTGTGAGGGCCTTTTGGGAGCGAGTGAACAGTGCCGAGGCAAAGATAGATCATTACAGTCTGAGGAGAATGGCACTGCGAGGAGTTACAAGGGGATCTGGCTGACGCTCGACACTCAGGGGAAAGGTGAGACAGATATACAATCAGACAGTTACTGGTACCATCAGAATTTTTACTTTTCTCTTGCTGCTGAAGATGGGGATGGAACGCTTATGGTGGTGTCCTGAGTGCTGTGATGTTGATTCTTATTTCAAACATTTAACCAGGACTATGAACCCATCATTTCTGTCATCTAGCAAATCCTTGTAAAATGTCGCTCCCATCTTGTTGCCCTGTCAATTTTCCACTCTCTAATTATTTATTTATTTTAAATGTCAAAGGCATCTCAGTCCTGTGTCCCATCCCCAAATTCTAAACCAAATGTTTTGCTTTCTTTGAAATGGGAGAGAACAACAGGGATTGTCAAATACATGCAAGCAATACTAAGTATTTGGATTTTTGTTGCTGATGAGACATTTCAAAAATTATAATAAAATATCAACAACATAATATTTGTAGTATCATTTTTATGTACCATGACAATAAGTACAGGCTGTCAAGGTTTGCCATCTAGACAATCACTACAGCCATGAATCAGGTCAGTTTTCTTGTCCTGTCCTTCTATATGGCTAAGCCAACCAGATATTTGCCTGCTTTCCCCTTGCTCTTTTTCCACCCAATTTTGCCAGTTGTAACCAAGTTCTCAAGTCCTTTTGCAGTATGCACTTATGTGGATGTTAAATGTAAGGACCACCGCATTAGTTTCTCAAGAATAAGTTTATATGCACTGTAATGATAACCACCACATTAGTTTCTCAAGAATATGTTAAGTTTATAGGCAATGTAAGGAGAACCACCACATTAGTTTCTCAAGAATATGTTAAGTTTATAGGCAATGTAAGGAGAACCACCACATTAGTTTCTCAAGACTAAGCTTATAGGCAGTCACAAAGCTAGATATACAGAGCAGTCACATGTTTGGAAAAAACAAAATCACTCGTCTTTACACTGAACATCCTGGCAAAAACACATCTACTTTTGACTGTATCAACAAACCACTGCAAGAATCAGATATCTGGATAATTTCTTTTAACCCGATATATGGATCACTTTAATTGACCAGATATGTGGATCACTTTTTTTAACTAGATATGTGGATCACATCATTTGACCAGATATCTGGATCACACATCATTTGATCAGATATGTGGATTACATCATTTGATCAGATATGTGGATCACTTTATTTAACCACACATATATTAATCACCTTTTTTGCTCCATTTGACTCGATATCTGGATAAAGTTATCTGACCAGATATCTGAATCCCGTTATTTGTCCCAGCAGGAAGTCTCAAACTCACCTTCAGCCATTCACCCACGGGTCTGAGCTGAGCCAGCTTGTTTTTGAAGTCTTCATCCTTGATGATCCGTTTCTCCTGTGTGTCAACCAGTAATATGCGGCCAGGCTTCAGACGAAGCTGTTATAAACAGGTGGGGAAAAAATAACAACATACAATTAAAGTATAGATGCCTGCTGAATCACAGGAAATACTTTGTTTCCTCAAAAATAAGACTAACACACACAAAAAACCCAGGATTTATAGGATGCTCGTAATATAAGCCCTACCCCAAATTTAACGTTCTAGTCAAGATAATTAACACAAGGACAGACTTTGTTCATTCATGGTGAATTATAAAGTAATTCAAATTGACATAAATGCTTTAAAAAAATTATAATGTAAGTTATAATAAAAGTTTTTTTGAAATACACAAGCGATAACTAGCTCCCCTTTTACAAAAGAAGACACTCCCAAAAAGCACAAAGAAACATCTCATACAAAGCATATTCATTCCCACCCTATTCTACTAGTGCCAGATGTAGCTAATCACAACAAACTAGACAGGAAAAATAATAACCACAGAAATGTGATGTCTGAGAAAAGCTGCAGGGGTGTCCTTAGGAAATAAAATCAGAAATGAGGTCATAAGAAAAAAATTCGGCATAGAACTATTTCTAAATTACATTCAAAGAGCAAATCAAATAGTTTTCCCACTTAAAGAGAATGCAATACCATACAAGGCATACACCAAAAGAGGATATGGATGAAAATAATGAGGTAGACCGAGAACAAGATGCAACGATAACATCAGAGAAACTCTACAATTGTACGATGTGTCTATGTTCGAGGTGGCCAGGCGAGCAAGAATCTAAACCTTATATCTCCCTTGATGCACAAAGAGGTAAAAAAAAAAAAAGAAGAAGAAGCAGGAGAACAATTCTAAATACCCAAGCATTCGATACAATTAAACCCAAAGGTGTCTTTTCATACAAAAATTAATACAAAACGCAGTCTTATTTTGGTAGAAGCTTGGTAACAGCCATAATAAATAGGAATAATATCCACAGTACAGAGGAATAATAGCTATGTACACAGAAATAACAGCTACACTACACTAGGAAAAACAGCTATAGAACATGGAAATAATAGCTAAGGTACAGAGAAATAACAGCTGTGAAACATAAGGATAATAGCAAGAGTAAAGTAAGAATAGAGGAGCGGCCAACCGAGCAGTAACAACATCGAGCTCACATGACCCGGGTTCGATACCCAGTAAGGTGATGGAGTTTTTCTGTTTGCAGCAAAATTAAACATCCCAACCTGCACAGTCCGTGGCGATACCACTAGCCATGCAGTCCTAAACCCTCAGGCTCAAGGCCCCCTTTTTTACACCACCCTAAAAAGTTGTAAAACAGAAAGTTTGACAGGGATAATAACACCTCTGGTATATAAGAATACCAACTATGGTACATAGGAATAATAGCCATGGTATGCAAGAATAACAGTACATTGCTAAGTCCATATGAAAATAGTCATTTAGATGTACCTTCTGTATGATATCCTCAGGATCACGGTCAGCCACTCCAACTTCGCTGGACATGTACATAAAGTTGTCCTTGGTCACATAAAACCTGGATGGACGCAAACCATTTCGGTCCAAGATGGCTCCAATGTAACGACCATCAGTGAATGTCAGCAGAGCTGAAAAGAGAGGTGTGATAAAAAAAATCAAAGAAGTGTTTTGTAAATTTAAATAAAGCAGTACAAAATAAAAAAAAACATGAAGAAAGATGAAAAGAATACAAATAATCTGACAAACCAAACACCTTGTGCATTGCATGCCACCTGTTAAACTGTGGTCATAGTGTAATCGACAACGATGCACTTCAAATTCCAAACAAGTCAACCAATGGTATTTGCTTCCTTGAAGCATCCAGATTTGTGCCGTCAAAAAGACATAGTCATGAACCTGCGCTTGCTCTGGTAAAACAGGCAATTACTTCTGAGGGTGGCTGGTTTTGTTTTTCAACTGTAAATGATTCATTTATGTGTTTTATTTTACTTAATTATTACTGTAGAAGGAAAATGACAAGAGAACAGTGAAATATGCCGGGCAATAAATTGTGCAACCTTTTTTGTATGTTTGTCTTCTTTGTTCATAATTTATGTCTCAGCACTATAAAATGGTTACAAAGCAATCTGCAGTGTAATGTGGGGATGGGAAAGCACTGTAAAAGAATTCAAATGACCACATGACAGGATGCCATTTATCCTCTCCAGGCTGCCATGTGAAAAGTTTGACACCCTGAGATCAGATAACCACAATTTGTATGGAAGACCATAAAGACCTTAAAGGTTTTACACTGCAAGACTTTTTTTTTAAAGCTCAATGCTGTTGGCAAACAGTGCTTCCTCCAGGGAGGTTATAATTAGAGCAACCGAAAGGGCCATATCAGCCCAGTGTAACCTAATTGATTGTTATTGTCAAGTTTCATCTGGAAATAAACATACCACATGTTTAAATTAAAAAAAAAAAAACATTAGAAATTTAAAAAATACATTTATTAATTTGTTTTGTTTTGTTTGGGCAGCCCACTGCATTGCCATCAACAGAGCAAATCTGGAGCAAAGTCTGCACCAGACAAACAAGCAAAATTACAAGCAAACAAAAAGTGATTTAAACAACAGCTTATTTAAAAAAAATACCAACCAGGTCCATCCCAGGGTTCCATAGAGAAGGCGGTCCATCTATAGTACAGCTTCTTTTCAGTGGTCATTGTGACATCATTCTGCCATGCTTCAGGCACCATTGTCAATATAGCCTAAACGGAATTAAAGTATGTATGTTGGTATATGTGTACACATATGAAAAAGTGCTAACTGAGGACATAATATAGGTGAAACAACTGGCTTAACTCTTAAAGCGCTGTTCATATGTCTTTTTACACCTGTAGAGGAGGTGGGGGAGGGGGGTGTCATCATCATCATGAAGCAGGTTCTTTGCAGAACGTCGCTCTCATCATAGTCTGCCTGAAAGAAACTAGTAGTCTGCCTGAAAGAAACTAGATCTCTCGCCAGTTCTCCCACCTCAAGTACTTTCGTACTCAAGGAATCACTTTTATCCTGTGTCCATCTTCATGTCGGTCGGCGCCTGACCCTCCTTCCTGGTACCATGCCGTCTGCTATAATTTTTTCCAATCTGTTGTGGTGCTTGATATGACCAAAGAAGAACTATTTCATGAACTGGATGACGGCTAAGATAGAACCACGCGCGCGCGCACACACACACACACACACACACACACACAAACACACACACACACACACACACACACACACACACACAAATGTAGATAATATATTATTTATTCATTCCAATGTTACAAAAATTACAAGTTTTAGCTAAAGCGACAACCACTGCTTTCTGAGGTACTAAAACCTGATACATCTGGCTGAAACATTGTTCCTGAGAAACTGACATTTGTGGTGGACTGCAGAAAATATCTGTGGAACAGCAATGGTCCTCCACCAAAGTCCTCAAAGCACTTTCTCAAAGGATTTGGAATTTTCTCATGTCTGGTCAAGTCGGGGGAGCTCCCTCTAAGCATGTCACAAAAGTTGACTAATTAGGGGTATTTCCTTTAGAGCAAGAGAGCATCTGCCTGAGAGGTGAGGAAACAGCAGTCTGCATACAAATAAGCCAGATCTGTAAAACGAATGGGCATGTAAACCTTAAACTCTGGAAACAGACCAAAGTCCAAGAGTGGACGAATAACCAGAACTTTCCGCCGCAGTTTCATGTTGGTGAACGCTTAGAAGATGAAGAAGACAAGATGTTCCAGTTTCCTTTTCATCACAAAGCAGACCCCCAAAAATATTATCACTGTCTCTTTCGGAAATTTTTTGATAGAAGCTCTTACGTCTTTCAAAACATTAGGATTACTCATTCTGGGTGTTCAAGAAATTTTAAGCATTCTTCTGTAAAACTACCTCTCTGAAAGCGGCCAAGACATGTACTAAATATGGGTGTTGCCCCAGAATTGTACAGACTAATAGTCACTTAATGCTTGCCTTTGAGACACCAAAATATTAGCATGCACAAAAGCAGCTGAAAAATGTGCTAGGAGTATCTACTTTGTGCTGTTGATGCCAGATATGGATGGTCCTAGAAAACCATACATTCAAAATGACAATTGTGAGATGAGATGTACAAGACATGCAACAGGGAAAACAAGAAGTGACAGAGTCACAACAGTAGGCATAGTACGGTGAACAGTTTCACAGAACATCCAAGAATCAAATGGTTTGGTCAACTGGTCAGAATGGAATAATATCAACCAGCAGCTAGAGCGTACTTAATGAGAATAGCAGGCAACAAGGCAAGAGGCAGACCAAGAAAGATTTTGATGGAGGGAGTAAAACAGACTACAGAAGCACAAGCTACGCAACTAGCAAAAGACGGGAAACAACAGCTAACTCCTCTCTGTAACGCTTCACGACACAAATAGTAGGAAAACAGAAGAAGAAGAAGAATACGTTAAAGTTAAAAGTAAAAGTCCAGAGGATCGACTTCTTTGGCATCTGGTTTTATCAAATATGCTCGGTCTCTCTCCGCAGAATGGTAGCCGCCTGCAGAGAGCATCGCATAGATCACAAACTACGTAGCTCCAGCGACGATCCCCACGGATCTCTGTGAAAATTGGGACTCGTGAACTGAAGAGTGCAGCATGGAGTGAACCCAGGACCTTCAGAGTATGAGACAAAGAGAAGAATGTGTGATGTGGTCAATAGCATGCTGGACGCCTTTACTGTCTGAACATTTCTGGATGGCCATTTCAGGCTGGACTCACCTGGAAGACTTGGTCAATTCACAAAATCCCTCAATCTGGAATGGGATTCTAGTAATAGCAACTGACTGACAGGCAAATGAGCTAACCACTGAACCACATCCATTTTGTTTCAAGTAAGTAAAAGACATACAGCCTGGTACTGACAGAGTTAATGTTTCCCCAAGTGGGTTCCAGGGACCCACTGTGGGTTTGCACGCGTGTGTGTGCATGCATGTGTGTGTGTGTAAGAGGGAGGAAGGGAAAATAGGCCCACTGTCCCTCTAATTACAGTTTAATTCCTGCAAATCAAAGTGCATCTGCCTGAGAGGCAAGGAACCAACACTCTACATACAAACTAATCTGTAAAATAGATGTGCACTTAAAACTCAAGTTCTGGAACCAGACTAAAGTTCAGAAGTGGAAAAACAGTCAGAACTATCTGCCCAAGTTCATAACCAGTGAACGCTAAGAATAAGAAGAATAAGAGTTGATTTTTACAGTAGGAAGCAAGCTACTGCTGAATGAACTAGTCTGGAGAGAATGGTGGAGTGGGGCATGCACTGAACAGGGTGGGGATCTGGAGATATTCAGCACTCAAAAGAAAGGCAAGAGATAGAAAGGCAAGAGATAGAAAGGCAAGAGATAGAAAGGCAAGAGATAGAAAGGCGAGAGATAGATCAAATAAGATGGCTACTGGTTTCACTGGTATTGAAACTCTCTGATATAGCTGCAGAAGATGAAGACTGAGCATTACAGTAATGCCCTGAGTGCTGTGATGCCGATTCTCAACTCAGCACTCAATTCAATGCGAACAAAAAGGATAAACTATGATGGGTACCTCAGGGAGCTCTCTTCCACCTGCCATGCACAGGAACTCCAGGACATTGTCCAGAGAACCAGAATCTGACATGCCTTCCTCAATGACAGGATAGACCAGGGAAAGCTTGTCCCCAAAAGCTTTGCTACTCATGACTCCCTCCCTGGCCTTCATCAGGTTGCGGTTACCCCTCAGTGTGTTGATCTCACCATTGTGGGCCAGCATTCTGTCAATGGAGAAAAAGGTACCAGTCAATTTAGTATCACAGTAGATGTTGCAGTGGGTGGGTGCAGAAGGACTGGTCTATTAGTTTGTAGAATTGTGAGCAAGGAAAACAATTTATCATGCTTGCCAAAGTTGTTTTTCATCAATTAGTGAAAGACCAGATGCATACTTGCTGTTTCAACCAATTCAGCTTACTTAGATTTGTGTGTTTGTGCATGTGATAGAGAGAGAGAGAGAGAGAGAGAGAGAGAGAGAGAGAGAGAGAGAAAAAGAGGGGGGGGGAGAGAGAGAGAGAGAGAGAGAGAGAGAGAGAAACATGTTTAGTGTGTATGTGTGTGTGTAGGGGAGGGGGGAGTGAGAGACACTGAGAAAGAGAGAGAGAGACTAAACATGTTTAGTGTGTATGTGTGTGTGTGTAGGAGAGAAAGAGTGAGAGACACTGAGAAAATGTGAGTGAGTGAGTGAGTGAGTGAGTGAGTGAGTGAGTGAGTGAGTGAGTGAGTGAGTGAGTGAGTGAGTGAGTGAGTGAATGAGTGAGTAAGTGAGTGAGCGAGAGGGACAGCAAGTGAGAGGGAAAGTGAGTGAGAGTCTGTGTGTATAAGTGAGTGTATGTTTCGATGTATGTGAGAGAGAGGAGAGAGTTAAAGAAAGAAATTTCAAAAAAAAAAAAAAAGTGAAAAACAAATAACACAGACAATGAATACAGCTTTGACAACTGATAAACAGATAAATAAATAAAAATAGAACTACTGAAATTTTGCATCAAGTATGAGACCGAACGCAAGCATGAGAGGGGACCGAACGCAAGCATGAGAGGAGACCGAACACAAGAATGAGAGGGGACCGAACACAATCATGAAAGGGGACCGAACGCAAGCATGAGAGGGGACAGAAAGCAAACACGAGAGGCGACCGAATGCAAGCAGGAGAGGGGACCGAATGCAAGCAGGAGAGGCGACCGAATGCAAGCAGGAGAGGGGACCGATTGCAAGCATGAGTGGAGACCGACAGCAAGTAGTGGGATGCCACAAAATTGCAAGCAACAAGCTCTCTTACCTCTGAGGATGAGCACGTTCCCAGCTGGGGAATGTGTTCGTGGAGAACCTGCTATGCACCAGGGCCAGGTGGGTTTCAAAAGCTGGGTTCTTCAAGTCCTCGTAAAAGTGCCATAACTGATGAGAGTTCAGCTGCCCCTACAAAATATATTTTCAACACAATGTTATTTCTTGATACATCAATAGCTTCCACAAAACAATAAAGAAAGCTTAAGATACTGGATATTGTTCAAAGTAAATAAAGTAATGAAGAAAAAGAAAATATAATTTTACACACTAAAAAACTAACAGAATTATACACACACAAATAATTATATGAAAAATTCTATATTACAGATAATTTATTTCCTTCAAAAAGACATATAAATTGACAAGTAATATTATAGTGAAACAGACTAACAGAAAACTACAAATGCACCATAAAAACATAAAGACAGCATTGTAAACTGAGAATATATGTTTCACATTTATACCCCACTGGAAGAAAAAAAAACTGAGGAAATTATTAGATGCAGTACTGTTGTCATGACCCTTAGGATAAAACTCGAAAGAAGTATGTGTGTAGGTGCAAATAATACTAGCAACAAGTGTTTTATTATAACTTTCCAAAGATCTTCTATAGAGAGAACTAGCCAGAAATAGGCCAGCCAGATGAAGCCAAATGCAAGATAAAGATGTCTGTAAAGAGGATATGAAAACCCTTGGCACAGATAGAGAAATTGGAGAGAGTCTCTTCTTCTTCTTAAAGTCTATGCCGTGTGGCGCTGGTAGTCTATCTATCCAAAACCTTTTGTCTCGTGTAATTTCAATCAACTCTGACACAGATGATTCTCATTGCCAAAAACTGTCCAGCATCTGTTCTCTCGGTCTCCCTCTGTCTCTCCTTCCCTCCAACTTTCCTACTGTCACAATGTACTCAGCTTTTCTCTATCTCAACACATGACCAATGAATGTAGATTGTCTCTTTCTGACATGGGCAATCTGTTCTATTCGTCATTCCATTTCTTTAAAGATGTCTTCATTAATCTTTTTATCCGTCCAGGGTATTCTCACCATTCATCTATAAAACCACATCTCCACAGCTTCCAAATAAGTTTTCACTAATTTACTACAGAGAGTCTCAGAAGAAAGATATTCTAGTCTCAACAGAAAGATAATCTAAGAGAAGAGATGTGAGAAACTGGCAAGTGCTCTTTCAGTGCTATCTGCTCCAGCTAACTGAGGACAAGAGGCACAAATATCAAATACGGTGACTGCTGCGGGACATGCCTCCTTTTACAGATGAAGAAATTGTGACAGAGATTATAACTCTGGTATAGGACTATTAGGTTACCAGCTGTGGTGTAAGGTACCTGTACAGCCGCACAACACTATAGCCCTGCAAAACTAAAAGGAAACCTCTCTACTTCAAGTGTTATAGTTTCAGGAAGTAATGTATTTACACTTGACTAGTCATACATTATAAATTAAAAACAACCTTGTAGACATGAGTTCAAAACATTAACTTAACTTGCAGAAAGAATAAGTTAAAAAATACCTTGTAAACATAGTTTTTCTTTTTTAACTTACCTTGTAGACAGAATTAGTTTTACAAAATTACCTTGTGAATTGAGTAAGTTTGGGATAAAAAAACAAACTTATAGACAGAATCAGTTTAACAATGAACCTACCTTGTAGACAACAGTTTCTGAGCTGAGACTGCAGATGTAGAACCGATAGTCCTGCTCCGGTACATGATGAGATGCATACTTCCTCAGCAGGTACACCTGGCAAAAAACAAATGTAATATTCCATACCTTGAGCACTAATTTTCTGGTTGATAATTTACACAAAATTTTCTACTGCAAATGAATCCGTGGATTCTAGGATTGTAGTCTGCAGGATTCACACGTCAAAGATGAGAATCCTTCATGTACAAATCCCATTAAGCCCGTTCAACTGTAATGTTTATATTGGGGCTTTCTATGATTACAATGTAACCTGAAGGCCGTACCAGTGCAGGGATACCATGTGGACTTGCCGAGCTGATAATATTTATACTCGATTCTGTCATCATAAGCAATATGGTTTTAGAAACGGATCACTTCAACTGCAAGTGGGTGTGTCCAAAATTGTATATATTGTCTCACAGAAAAAATAGGATCTATTTTCACACCAATGATGAGTAGCTGGGCAAATGGTTAAGAACAATGGACTTTTGTGTGGCAGACCCATGTTCGAAAACCCAGTAAGATTGTGGTAAGTGCTTTTCAGGTCTGACTTACCACTAAGATAAAATTTCATCCCCCCAACCCCCTCTATCCATTTTCTCCCCGCTTTTGCTGTTTTACAATGAACATCAACTTGTTAATTATTAGTATAATGAAACTATTAATGACGTGAGCATTTAAAACATATTTTTTGTGATATTTTCTAGTTCTTAACTCTTTTGAGTCCCAGTGGGTTTAGCATCAGAGGCCCAAGGGGTAGTCAAAAGAGATGTAAAATCAGCGCATCTTGCATTCACTGGGCCTCTAGGCAGGAACCTATGAACGTAGGATGCATTCCTTGGGACTTAAAGAGTTAAGATTGGATTCCTTGGTCAAAATCAAATTTTGTTTATACAAACAGTGAAACATTCCTAAACACATGTATGAATAAAGATAAAATAGTATGTTAAATAGCACACATTATAATGAAGTATTACCTGTCTTGTGAACTCCAAGTGGTCACTGGGAACTCCATTACTGGAAGACACGAATACCTGTCCAGATGAGAATAAATGTTCAAACTTAAGCTTTTACCTTCAGAGAATTCATGACAATGTGAAACATAATACTTCTTCTCCATATACCTTCAAGAGTTTATACAGCCATGATAATATTAAAGTTTATACTGTTCTTTAACATAAAAGCGATTTGTGTACGGTAGTTCAGTGCACTGGCCATGTGGCCCCAAATCCTCAGGCTCATTGCCAATCGCAGTTTTAAGGGCAAACACAGCAGCAGCAGCAGAAGAACAACAACATCAACAAGGAGAAAGAGGAGAAGAAGAACTGACTGTATCACCTGTCTAATCAATGGTTCTGTTGACTTTGCCACTGCACCAATGACATCACTGTGAACTGGAACAGTCCGCCAGGCCAAAACCTGCAGGACAAGAAACATTGCAAGGCTGTTATCATCAATTATGTTTAACTAGAGGACTATAATCTACACACTTTCCAACAAGATAGCATGTTTTGCTTTTATAAAATATTATATATGGTATGATAAAAACAAAATAATGACACTGTAAGAGACATTTTATAATAACTTTGTTTAAAATTACAGGAGTAAGAAGTCAAAAATCATATTTCAGAATCATACACGTTATTAAAAAAAAAATTACAGTAGAAAATTTTTGAGGATGAAGTATTGAAAACCAACTTAAGTAAAACTACTGTTAGAAATGCTTGCAGGAAGTTAAAAATCAATACTGAGAATTAGGGCTGTACTGAATAGTCATTTTCAGCCGAATATTAATACGAATAGTGTATAGTGTATAAAATATTTCTATTAAAAAAACACACACACACACACACAAACACACACATTCATAATGTCAAATGTACGCTGAACTTTGACTTTACATAAAGTAGCACAGAATAGTCATCTTCTTCTTTTGCATTCTGAGCCCTTGAGGTTTACTGTTGCAAATATCACTCATCTCCATTCATCTCTCTGGCTGGCCTTATCTTCACAATTTGTGGCACCAGTTGTTTGCAGGTCTGGCTGGACATTATCTCTCGAACATCTTTTTTGTCTGCCTCGTGGTCTACGCCCATTCCTCTCTCTGGTGTATGCGGTTTTTACTTCTCTGTCATCTGACATGCTTCCAATATGCCCCAACTATTTTAGTCTGTTAGCTTACATGATGCCAGGGATCAATGGTAATTTAAACAGATTATGTGTTACTTTGTTGCTTCTCACTCTCCATTCCCCGCTGTTAGCATTTTTAATGGGTCCAAAGATTTGTCGTAAGACTGTTTTCGAAAATCTGTAATAAGGCCTGATCTCTTTTATTTCTGCTTCAAGTTTCAGAGCCATATAAAACGACCGGTCTTATCAACGTTTTATATATTTTGATCTTGGTGACAGACACTTTGACTTTATTTCTAGATTGTATTCTAGTTTGTATTTTTTCTCTCAGCATGTTGGAGCAGTTGAAGTTTGCACCCAAGTACTTATATGTGTCCATTCGTTTGATTTTCATGTTTTCGACTTGGATGTGGCCGGAGTTTATATTCTTTCCATGTCTAGTTAGTATTCGTACAGAATAGTAAACATTTAAAAACATTTTATGTTTTGCATCCTTCAGTCAGTCTGTGGTAACTAATAACTAGGAATGAAAGAATTTTAAGTATTATAACAAGTAACTAAACTTGGAAATTGTCACTAACAGCTTAGTTATGTTGTCGGCATTAAGGTCGTGCATGCAGAAGCGGGTGTAAGGTAACCACTATTCGTATTCGGCCCAACCGCAACTATTCAGCCGAGTACTGAATAGTCAATAGGTCCACTATTCGGCCCCAAAGCGAATATGAAGCGAATATTCAGTACAGCCCTACTGAGAATACACTTAATTAGGAAACTAGTAAGCAAATTATAACATGAAGTTTGTTAAAAATCAATTTAGGAAATTAATTATTTCAGTCCTAATTAACGCCTGACGTGTTAATTAATCTATCCCACAAATCCCCTCCCTAGCATAATGTGCTCTCTTATTTTTTAATTTCTGGTTAGAATACACTAAATAAACCCAGCTTTCCCAGCCGGTCATTACCACTGTACATACTGCCACTTTCAGAATTGTTTAGCATGGTTATATCTTCACTCTGGAATCTCCGATGAAACCTTCTGATATCAAAAAGTTTTTAAAAAAAACTAGTTTTAGAAATTAAAGGAGGAATTTAGTTATAAATCAATATGAGAACCAACTAAGTAAGATATTACTGCAAGAAATTATAGTAGAATATTAGTTATACATGAATATCAATGGCCCAATTAAGAAAACACAGAAGAAACTGCTGTGATAAATAATTGGGGGACAAATTAATGAGAAATCAATACTGAGAACCCACTTTGGAAACAAAAGTAAGAAACATCATCATTATCATGTAGCAGATCCTTAGCAGAATTTCTCCTTCATTACGGCATGCCAGAAAGCCAATAACTCTCTTTCCAACTACCTAATGAATATTTATGCCTGGGTGTTTCTTGATATTTTGTGTTTACCATCATTCTGGTCTACCCCTGCCTAATCTTCCAGGACCCATATTCTCCTCTACTGTTCTCTCCACAATTATGTCATTTAATATGGTCAAAGCTCCTCCCCTACAAGAAACAACACTATCTAAAAGCCAGGTAATCAATAAATATGAAGAGAGTGGAGCATCAAATGGAGTATATTCCATAGAACATTGAAATAAATATGTATCAAGTGACTCATGCTGTGACCTCAATCACTGAGGCTTACAGGCAAAATGTGACATCAACCTGGCTTTCGAACAGGGATCCTAAGGAAAACCCCTAATTGCTATTTTAATAAACTATATTCATACCCTGGCCTATTAAACACTGTGGAGGTGCAAACAGGACTAAAAGAACTGAACTATACTTTTTTAGAACGGTATTTAAGGGACTGTGTCACAACAGGAAGTGAGTAGATTTAGTCTTCCCAGGGCAACAGGGTTAAATATCACAGAGCATCCTACAAAGAATAATGCTGGTTTGACAGCTCAGCTACTCTTGCTGCTGCCAATGTGTATTTACTCCAAGCATTAAATAATCCTTGATAAACAAATAATGATGACTTCAGCGATATATTCCAAATTCATAATTCCCCCCTCACAAAAGTTTGCCACCCACCTGCAGGCCAAAGTCTTGAGCATATTTCTCAAACACAGCCTCTGCATTGGCTGCTGTTGAAGGGTCCAGGAAAATCAAGCCAGTTGCGTATTTGCCTGGTTCCGGCAGCTCAATGGCCGGGTTGCTCTCCCTATCAAATAATCAACAACAAAAAATAATATTTATGTTGAATAATAATTGTCATCATTAATAAAGTTATTACCTTCTTCTTGTTATGCAATTGTTATTCTATCCACTTTTGTTGTGTCTTTTTTTCTGTTTAGAGTCATACTGCAGTGTCTGCATCTTTTGGCCCACTGCATTCGATTTCAGCAAACTTTTAATTATTCACCTTTTACAACACACCCACACGTGAAAAGGTAGTGGATCTACTCCTCTCCCTCTCAACACACCAGCAAACAGGGCCTCAGAACCCGCACAGATATGGTTTGCATCTATCACAGTGTGGTTGGTGTAACCTGACTAAGTACTAGGATACCACTTCTCAAGGAAAGTGCTACAAAACTCCCTCCCTTCAAAAGGTTCAGACATCAGTGTGCTGTACAGGACTAGTACTGATTAATCTTCAAAGAAATACATTCAGTGAGTAGAACAAATAAAGTAACCTTTTTGTTTTAACATCACTGGAGCATCAGTTATATGGTACCAGACCCATGTTTTCACAGACCAGACAGCAATCCATGGTGGATGCTGTTGACATCCCACTAAATGCCTTTTCTTCCCAGGATATTTTAAAATTAGTTGTGTAGTCTTTACAGGATGTTGCAAAAACCAACCCCAGCATTTTTTGGCTGCTGTGGTTTTTCTAGTCAGATTTTACATTCAGTAGTTTGAGGCTGCCTTCTGAACGGTCAGCTCTCTGTACCACTGTTGAAACCAACGCAAGATAAATCCTGCGCAGCTGGGATCAAACCCGGCACCCCGGCATTACAAAGCATGTTCACACCACCTAAGCCACTAATGCCAACGACATTACCTGGTACATATTTAAGGCTTGGTCGACCGATAGCCAATATTTTTTTAAGGACATATTCAACAAATAAAAACATTATTACCTGTACTGATCAACTTTGAGGTGCAGCCCGTCGGGTGTTCGAGCGTGTGGATTTAGGGCGGCACGGCTACTGCTGTCACCACGGGCTATGCAGGTTAAAATTTTCATTTTGCCCAAAAAGAAATCTATAACCTTACACAGGAATCGAACCTGGGTCCTCTACATGACAGTCCAATGTTCTCAAACTGTTCGACCAGCCATTCCTCTAATCAGACTGCCTCCAATTAGAGTGTAAATAAAGTTTATACCTGTTTCCCTGCCTTGAAACTTACTAGGTATATAGTGTTAATCTTATATTTTTATAATCCAACCAGTCCTAGATTAGTGATGTGGTTCATATGACACAACAAACTTTACATCCCAGAATAGTTCATGGCACCTAATTTATTTTAAGAGAACAGGGGAGCTCTGGTCCAGTTTTTAAAAGTTACCACTTTGAGGGAGATTCGAACGCATTACTGCCATGGCAAGCAGGCAAGCTTGCTAGACACCAGCCTTCAGCAACTCATGAGAAAAATAGTAATCTGTTTTGTCGTTAACCTGCTGTAACTCCGGTGAAAAGTTCTGGTTGTTCATCCATTTCTGGACTTCAGTCTTGCTCCATAACCTGTGTATGTGTTTTTTTTTTTTTCAATGTATACCCATTTTACAAACATGAATTATTTGTGTTGGTTCCTCCCCTCTCAGAGATACACTGACTTTGATGGAAAGATCCCTAATTAGTCTACTCTTATGACATGACCATTAGGGGACAGTGGGTGAATTCTCAAACAGTAATCAGAGTTTCATTAACTCATAATTTTAACAGAAAGGTTGTCTGTGAACCATTAGTACTATGTTCTCTCAAGCAGAAACAAGAATGTGTTGAGATTTTGTTAGGAAACTCAAACAGAAGATCGCCTACAGTACTGATAATTGTCTTCTTCATCTATGCTTGGTCTTTTTTTGAAATGCGTTATATCCAGTTTCATCCTTTTTAGGACGGAATTTTTTGTTATTTGAAGCCCCACCCTGGCTTTAGCCAGGGGCCGCAACATAGGCAGGCCATAAATATGGCCAAATGTCTGAACGCGATTTCTGGGACATCTCCACGGCGATCCTCATCCACATGGTGGCACGTTGTGTCATCGGGTGTTTATCGCTTGTGTGATGTCCTAGTGGGGTAGAAAGTCAATCAGTCAGTCATGCTCAGTCTTAAAAGGGTGGTTAGCACACTGTCTCATAGTCTACATCTTGGCTGCATTATCTGCACCTTGTGTCCCAACACATTCACTTTCAGCAAATCGCTGATGCCTCGACTTTTATGACAAGCTGGCTCGAGGGCAGTTGGTCTTTTCTCTCACTGCCTCCAAATGATGCCTTGGAACCTACAAAGGGAACGATAACTGTCAAACTGTACAAACTGTCAACTGTACACACCTGAGGGCTTTGGCGTACAAATTATGGGGTATGCCAGTAAGAACTCCAGCTCCATCTCCTGAGTCATTATCACAACCACACGCACCACGGTGCTCCATTCTCTGCAACATGACCTGCGACTCCTGCAGCACCTGGTAGAGAGAAAAGATGTCACTATAGTTATCACCTGTCACCTTCAAGAAAATGGCTGGTCACATTCAGTGGCAACCTGGGAGCCAAGGTCATTTTAAAGAAAAAAAATATGTCTGACTCCATCAGAACCTGAACTATGAATACCGACCGCTACACCAGGGTGGCTCTCATTTATTATAAAGCACATGATATTATGCAGTCAAAGACTGAAAGATGGACCTTGACTGCCAACAAAAGTGAGCAAGTCACTTGATGATGATAAGATGTAAGCAAAAACTGAGACACTTTGGTCATATTAAATGCTGCAGTGGTTCTGAAAGAGCAATAATACGAGGCTCGGTTTTGGTGAGAAAATGATGACAGGACTGACTCACTGTGTGGATTCTAGGGCCCTATTTATTGGAAGGGGGTTCGGTTGGGGGGAAGGGGGAGGGGGACACCCTTGTTCCAGAGCTTAAGTTTTGTGTGCATATTTATTTGAGTATCTGGCCTGTAGGTGGTTTCTCGCCTCTCAGGCAGACGACACTCTGGCTTATTTGCATACAGACTGTAGGTGGTTCCTCGCCTCTCAGGCAGACGACACTCTGGCTTATTTGTATACAGACTGTAGGTGGTTCCTCGCCTCTCAGGCAGACGACACTCTGGCTTAGTTGTATACAGACTGTAGGTGGTTCCTCGCCTCTCAGGCAGACGACACTCTGGCTTAGTTGTATACAGACTGTAGGTGGTTCCTCGCCTCTCAGGCAGACGACACTCTGGCTTAGTTGTATACAGACTGTAGGTGGTTTCTCGCCTCTCAGGCAGACGACACTCTGGCTTAGTTGTATACAGACTGTAGGTGGTTCCTCGCCTCTCAGGCAGACGACACTCTGGCTTATTTGTATACAGACTGTAGGTGGTTCCTCGCCTCTCAGGCAGACGACACTCTGGCTTAGTTGTATACAGACTGTAGGTGGTTCCTCGCCTCTCAGGCAGACGACACTCTGGCTTAGTTGTATACAGACTGTAGGTGGTTTCTCGCCTCTCAGGCAGATGACACTCTGGCTTATTTGTATACAGACTGTAGGTGGTTTCTCGCCTCTCACGCAGACGACACTCTGGCTTATTTGTATACAGAATGTAGGTGGTTTCTCGCCTCTCAGGCAGACGACACTCTGGCTTAGTTGTATACAGACTGTAGGTGGTTTCTCGCCTCTCAGGCAGACGACACTCTGGCTTTGTTGTATACAGACAGACTGTAGGTGGTTTCTCGCCTCTCAGGCAGATGACAATCTGGCTTAATTGTATACAGATTGTAGGTGGTTTCTCGCCTCTCAGGCAGACGACACTCTGGCTTATTTGTATACAGACTGTAGGTGGTTTCTCGCCTCTCAGGCAGACGACACTCTGGCTTATTTGTATACAGATTGTAGGTGGTTTCTCGCCTCTCAGGTAGATGACACTCTGGCTTAGTTGTATACAGACTGTAGGTGGTTTCTCGCCTCTCAGGCAGACGACACTCTGGCTTAGTTGTATACAGATAGACTGTAGGTGGTTTCTCGCCTCTCAGGCAGACGACACTCTGGCTTAGTTGTATACAGACTGTAGGTGGTTTCTCGCCTCTCAGGCAGACGACACTCTGGCTTAGTTGTATACAGACTGTAGGTGGTTTATCGCCTCTCAGGCAGACAACACTCTGGCTTATTTGTATACAGACAGACTGTAGGTGGTTTCTCGCCTCTCAGGCAGACGACACTCTGGCTTAGTTGTATACAGACAGACTGTAGGTGGTTTCTCGCCTCTCCGGCAGACGACACTCTGGCTTAGTTGTATACAGACTGTAGGTGGTTTCTCGCCTCTCCGGCAGACGACACTCTGGCTTTGAAGGAGAAGACCCTAATAATTAGTCACATTTTCAGACATGCTTTTTAGGGAGTCAAATTATCTATTTAGACTAGGTTAATGGCATATTATCCACCAGTGACGACTGGACTCTTTAATACGGGTCTAGCCCTATATGCCCAATACGCATGAGTGCTTCGAAAAGGGTCCTTTACTATATAAAAATTTTGTGTGGGCGGAATTATTCCACCCTCTCCAGGAAGATTTTGTTTCACTGTTTTAACCAGGCTGATTTAAAACCGTTAAGAAAGACTTCTCATCAGAACTATTTTCTACCCTACCCAATGGTTTGCTGATTAGATGATACGTTGGCCACATTGACCCCACTATGAAACTTTCCCTTTGTGCCCCATCGTCTACTCTAGGTCACAGGAGAATGTTTCACAGCTCAGTGCATTAACTCACGTGTAATGGGAAGCTTCTCAGTTCAGTGCACAAACTCCATAGCACAGGTAAGTGATAGCAATATGTACAAGAATTCAGACAAACTATAAATATTCTGTTCCCGAACGGTTCTCAAATTGTGAAAAGTGTCCAAGACAAGAGAGGCTGTATGAAAGCCGTTGCATCAGTTTCCCCAGTGCTAAGGAATGTTAAACATAGGACAAACTACTCTTTATCCTTATTCGGAGAGCGTAGTATATAATCTAAACCCATATTAGTGGGGAAATGGTTCACAAACTGATGTGAAGAGGGAACTTTAAAGCTAAGGTGGGTGGGTGGGTGGGTGGGGGGGGTGGCCATACATTGAAACTAGTACCACTTCAAGCAAGCTTTTATTTTTTCTTCTTTCGTTCGCTTGAAATATATTTTCTATATCTGCAATGTTATTTTAAGTATGAACTTCGCTGTCAGATGTAATTCAATCAGCGAACCGTAAAGTTTGATTTGAATCGGTGTTTATCTTGGGCCAAAAGTTTTGCCTTTATATGTTGTATTTGGGACAGTCTTGGAGGGCGTGATCTGTTGTCTCAGGTGCTAATCCACATGTACATGTGGCTGATTCGACCATCTTAAATTTTCTGTACACGTGGCTGCGAAGTCGATTGTGCCCTGTTCTAAGGCGTAGAACAATGACTTGCTTTGGTCTGTCCCTTATATATATATATATATATATATATATATGGTAATCGTCTTTTGCCTGTTTTTGTAGCTTTCTCATTAATTTGATTATTCTCTTCTTCTGTTGATAAGAGACTGGTATGTTAGGTTGTTCTTCATTTGCACTTTCCTTAGCTAGTTTATTAGCTCTTTCATTTCCGGAAACTCTTTAGTGGGATGGTATCCACTGCATAACTACTAAGCAAAGCAATAAATGTTGACAATGAACAACTTTTGACAGACTTTGTATCGCCAGGACCAAAGATTGGTTTACTTAAATACAAAACTGTATAGTAAGTAGATAGACTGTTATAAAATGTTAGGATATTTGTCTTTGGTATCACGTGATAGGCAACGAGTGAAGGCAGACCGACAGGTGTTCAGAATAACAAAAGATGGGCATGGAGAAACAGAAATTGGCTGATGTATAAAGACAGAGAGTGTCCCCCACACACACACGCACGCGCGCGCACACAGAGACAGAGAGAGGGAGAGGGGTGGATGGATGATAATTAACAATCACAAATAAATACATTCCAGTCTGTAGAGTCAGTAAGATTATGACAGACAAACAACTGTAGACAGGCAGACACCCGGACGGGTGGAGTTTTATATTTTCTCGTTATAGTTACACTGACCGATATCACGACTGTGCATATTATATTAAGACAACGACTAGAATGTTTTTAGGAGGATAAGACCCCACTCTAAAGCCAAGATTAAATTAAATTCTTATATATTTACACGTCTGCGCTTTGAAAAACCACTCCAAACTCCACGGACTTTACAGATGGGAATGGTGTATGTGTGTGTTTGTGTATGCTGCGTGAGTGTGTGTGTGCATTTTAGTAGTTGGGGGAGGGTGGAGATAATCACCATCATAATAATCCCACTTTTCCCGTGCCATCATCACGCGGCATCCCCGCCCTGAAGGTCGCCTGCGACGAATGTGTCTCCACCATCTTTCGTTCCGTGTCTTTAAGGTGCACTCCTACAGCTTTCTTCCTGTCCGTGTTTGGATGGCCATCTAAAGTGGACACCGCAGTCACCTTCCTTAATTCACATGCTTTATATCCACATCTTTCAGAGAGACAACCACAGGCTGGCAGACAGACAGACAACCACAGAGTGGCAGACAGACAGACAACCACAGGCTGGCAGACTGTCAAGAGCAACCACAGGCTGGCAGACAGACAGACAAACAACCACAGAGTGGCAGACAGACAGACAACCACAGATTGGCAGACAGTCAGATGCAACCACAGGCTGGCAGAAAGTCAGGTGCAACCACAGGCTGACAGACAGACAGACAAACAACCACAGAGTGGCAGACAGACAAACAACCACAGATTGGCAGACAGTCAGATGCAACCACAGGCTGGCAGAAAGTCAGGTGCAACCACAGGCTGGCAGACAGTCAGGTGCAACCACAGGCTGGCAGACAGTCAGGTGCAACCACAGGCTGGCAGACAGACAGACAGACAAACAACCACAGAGTGGCAGACAGACATACAACCACAGACTGGCAGACAGGCAGATGCAACCACCGGCTGGCAGAAAGTCAGGTACAACCATAGGCTGGCAGACAGTCAGGTACAACCACAGGCCGGTAGACAGGCAGACAGACAACCAAAGACCAAAAGACAGACGAATAAACCCGCCAGCTAACCGAACCATGTAAACTATCACAGCAACACTATTTGCACTCGTGCCAACATGGCCATTATCCAGGTTCCATTAACACCAAAACATTCCATGAACCAGTGGAGGCCGCTGCCAAAGTCCCAAGACACGCACGAATGCCAGGACGTCTATGACATCAGGGCACGCTAACCCATCGCTCAGCCACCAGATAACACAGGAATTCTTTTTATGCTGTATCAGACACCGGCTACGTTTGCATGCTGGCTGAACATTTGCACTCAAGATATTTTATACTGTGCGCACATTCTGGTTCTCTGGTAGCATTCTCTTTTTTTCCTATATCCTAGCTACAGCTAACATAACAAGACATACC